AGAATTGGGTCAACTGTCTCTTAAATTCCAACAGATGATTTAGCTGTCAGATCTCTTCTGACCAGTCATTCCAGGCTTGGGGCGAACAAGAAAAAGGTCTCTGGGTGACAATTGTCAGTCAGGTTCTGGCTGGTTGGAGTAAGTGTCCTAAAGGTCAGATTGTTAAGAATTATGTATTTATTTATTGCATTTCTATACCACTCTTCTCACCCCTGGAGGGATTCAGAGAAGTGTACACCATGTCAAAATGACAAAAATTCAATTCCGAACATACATATAAAAGCAATACATGACATAATTAAATCAATAACATATAAATATGAATTAAAACCATCCTGTAAGTAACCTGGACCCAAACCATGTAGCACAGGTTGATTTTCTTCTGAAATTTATTAGTGTACTCCATCATCCAATGCATGTTTCCAATAAAACTCTAGTGCCACTTTCTTTCCTGAACCAGACTACTACTACTAATAGTAATAGTAATAATAATAATAATAATAATAATAATAATAATAAGGCTTTCCCCAAATGTCTTAATACTGAAATATATTCAGAAGAGTATATAAATGGTTTTGGTCCAACTTACCTGTCTGAATGCATCTCCCTTTATGAGCCAACTAGAGCTTCAAGATCTGCTGGGGAAGCTCTTCTCTCAGTCCCACCCTCACTGCAAGTGTGACTGGTCGGGACGAGAGACAGGGCCTTCTCAGTGGTGGCCCCTTGTTTGTGGAACTCCCTCCCCAGTGACATTAGATTGGTCCCATCCCTCCTGGTTTTTAAGAAAAAGCTAAGGACCTGGCTTTGTGTAAAAGCATTTGGAGAATAGGGTAATGGTATTTGATTTTAACCTTACAGTTCGAATAATGTCCATGGGAAAACTTGAAACTTGGAAATTATGACTTGGCACTTTATTATGTTTTAATCTACTTTATTGTTTTATATGTTTTAATTGTTTATATGCTTTAGTTGTTTCACAATTTAATGCGGTCTATTTATGCTATGTGTACGATACAACATTGAATTTTTGCCGTAGTTTGTAAAGCCACTCTGTGTCTTCTTTGGGGTGAGAAGGGCAGGGTATAAATAAAGTAAGTAAATAAATATAAATAGTAGTCAGCAAATAGTAGTCAGAAAAGCTGAAGAGTTCCCTCCACCCAAGATAAAGCAGTGTGAAACATCTATGGCATCTATCACACTATGTAACAAAGTTTGAAAAATTTTCTGTTCCTGGTTCCAAAGTGTAATTCCTGTTTAATTGTGTGGTACTTGCTTTGAAAGTTGTTATACTCCAGAAACTTCATTTTCATGGCTGCTATAAACTATGTTGAATTGGTTGAGACGCAATGGGATATTCATCTGAAAACTATAGCAAAATATGCTGCAGGATGTCCTGCACAAAAAAAGATTTTGCAGTCTAATAGACTTTCCTCTGTGCCAAAGATGTTGTAGTAGAGTCTGTTGGCAATGCTGCAACTGGTAGTAGGAGTGGTAGAGGAGGGAAACGAGGCACCCAGGTGTTAGATGAAGAGCAGCAAAGGAAGAGAATTCGGGAGATACTTATGTCACCCACTGATGAAGAATCCTTTGAAGGTTTCTCCGAGAGTGAAATGAATGAGGAGGAGGAAGGAGATTCAGATGGGAATAGAGGCATTAAGAGGGTTACTCGAGAGCAGGAGTCAGGATTTCATGAGCTTTTCTGAGAATGATGGGTCTGAGGGTAGTGGGGATGAAGAGAAATCACTGGATTGGACCAAGGTTCAGAAGATTCGGAATGTGTGTACTCAACCATCGTCCAGTGACACTTTTGAGGGGTTTTCTGGTGGCGGAGATTGGCAATCTGTTTTTTTTTTTTTTTTGGTTGTGTCAGGAGTGACTCCTGGTGTGAGAGAATTGGCCGTCTGCAAGGACATTGCCCAGGGGATGCCCGGATGATTTGATGTTTTTTTATCATCCTTGTGGGAAGCTTCTCTCATGTCCCCGCATGAGGAGCTGGAGCTGATAGAGGGAACTCATCCGCCTCTCCCTGGATTTGAACCTGCGACCTGTCAGTCTTCAGTCCTGCCGGCACAGGGCTTTAAACCACTGGTGATACCATGGAATCGTGGGGAGACCTAAGTCTTGACAAAAGGTGGAAGAGTTGGAGGGATGGACGTTGGCGTTCAGCTGTAGAGGCTAAGCCAGCTGACAGTGATGAGGATGGGGTGGAGGGCAGCTCATCAACAGATGATGAGTTGTAAGATAAATGAAGGCACTGGAGTGATAGAACTTTGCAGTAGGCAAAGTGTTGGTTTCGTGCCTTGGGTCTTGTCGCTACCGCTTTCTTGTTGGGCTTGGGTCCTGGATCTGCAGGTTGCTGCTTACTTCGTGTACTGACTGGCTTGGATTCTTGTAAGTGCTGATTTCCCCTCTCCTTGACTTCAGACTGTTTTTGACGATGACGCTGCCTCTTGGACTTTGGGACTTTCAACTGGGATTTCTTCAACTTTGGACTGCTTCTGGATGACAGTTTTGCTTCACGGATCTTTGTTTGCTTACTCTTTATCTGCTGCTCTATTTTGGGTGATTTTGGACACTACTCAGTTTAATCCGGATTATAATCTCCGTTTAATCCGTTTTATATATCTGTTTAATCTGGATTATTTCCTAAATTGGTTTTTTGAGCTAATATTTGCAGCTACTTTTGAGTTTTGACCAGAGACACTGTAGTAAGTGTCTCTGAGTCCTTTTGTTTGATTCAATAAACTGTTACTTTTTGGACATACTCATTAGTCTGACTCTTTAAGGCTTCTGGGTTCCGACAAAAGATGTGTCAATAGATCATACTATGTAACACAATTTTTGTTCCTAGGTTATAAATGTCATTTCCTAATTGGTTATATCATAAAATGTGTTACATAGTATTATTTATTGACACATCTTTGGCACAAATGGGTTTATCTCATCCTGAATAACCTTTGATCTAGTTTCAAATGGCGGCCCCAATCAATCAGCAAGTTGACCTAGCAAATATAAAAACTGGATTTTTGAATCATCACTAAAGCTTGTCCTCAGTGGAGATGATCTTTTATAAATTACCTCTAACTCAAAGATGGAAATGTGTGCTGGCCAGCAATATGGATGGTGACATATATTAGGAGTTGCAGTTCAGTAACATGATTCCTAGTCCTGCTCTCAGTGCATGCCACACATGTTCAGAAATAGACAAGATGAGTCATGGGAGGAATTGAAATCAAATGACTCAAATCTGAGAATATCAGTCTAGATGTTAAGAAGGGAACAAGCGACAGGAAAAGAGATTCCATCTAACCAATTAGGTTAAACCTCCAAATGGCAAAAGCCATTCAACAATGGAGTACTCTTTTAAGCAGAGGCTGGATGGCCACCTGTCAGGAGTGCTTTGGTTGTGTGTTCCTGCATTGCAGGGGGCTGGACTGGAGGGCCCCTGTGGCGTTTTCCAATTCTATTAGTCTATGAACAGAGCAGACACAAAGCATGAAACTCTGAATCTTCACCAATATTGCCCTCCCAGTGGCACCTTCTTACTTCTGCATCTGTGTTTGCATCTCTCTTCACTTCCAAGAGTCACCATGCACAATGGGATTGTGGTGCAGCTGGCTGAGTGTCAGCTGCATTAAGATCACTTCTGACCAAAAGGTCATGAGTTCGAAGCCAGCGCAGGTCGGAGCGAGCGCCCGACCAATTGTGTAGCTTGTTGTCAACCTTTGCAACCCGAAAGACAGTTGCATCTGTCAAGTAGGAAATTTAGGTACCACCTATGTGTGGGGAGGCTAATTTAACAAAATTTAAGAGGCCATAAAAAGACTTGAGTAATGCACTCCAGCAAAAGCAGGCGTGGAATGCCGAAGTACTTCATCAGTGTTGCAGTTGGCGATGAAAGCAACAGCTCCCCTGGTGGTCAAAAAAAGTTAAATAGCCTCTGACTGTCTTGTCTATGTTATGTGTCTTGGCATTGAATGGTTGTCATATATGTGTACATTGTAATCTGCCCTGAGTCCCTTGTGGGGTGAGAAGGGTGGAATATAAATACTGTAAATAAATAAATAAATTTTGACCAGGGACCACTCTCCAACATTACTGATGTTGGGTTACTGATCAGTTTTTGATCAACTTTAGATTTGGTTTGGTTATTTTGTGTGCTCAGAAAATTGCATTGGACAGACCACATCAGCTCTAGTTTCTGATGCAGAACATATGCCATCCAGTACTTGCCATCTGCTCGCTCATAGAAAATCATATTTAATAATCTAGAGCTGATGTGGTCATAGTAATCTTTAGTGGGTAGTCAGCCTCTCCCCTCCTGACATTCCTGTTGCCTCAGTGCTATAAGAGGGTTTCGCAAGGCCAGTCACTCTCATTGCTGCATGGTTTTGAGGCAACAGTGCAGTAATTGTGAGGCAGTGGACCATATTTTTGTTCTTGCCAACCACTGGTTGTCCACAGACCACAGGTTGGGAACAACTGCCTTAAAATAAGTAAAAACTTATCAGGCTGCCATTAACTTCTTCTGGTAGCCTCCTGGTGCATGTTATTTATTTTAAGGGCTTTTTTGGGGGGTGGGTGGGTGGGGATTGGTGCCCTCTACCCTCTGATTTCTCCGGGCTCATGGAATCTGCACAAGTGAGATGGAAAGTGGGGACTGACCCCTGGGACTACCCAGGAGTCAGTCCCCGCAGAGCCCATGCCCCATTAGACCTGGGCCATTCAGGACACTGGCTTAATTTAGACTGAATAATTATTTCATATTCCAAAATGAATATCATTTATCCAGAATTCTGAAATCCAAAATATGACCTGCTTTGTCCAGAAATAATTCTCTTTTACCAGACGAGTTGTTTGGATGCCTCTGGTAAAAGTCTGACAGGTTCCACGTTTTGGGCCCTGTCTGTATATGCAAGTATTCCAAAATCCAAAAAATCAAAACCTGATGTATAAACACGACTGGCTCTAAGTATTACAAACTGAGCACGGCAGGAACACTCTTTCAAGGAACCATCTTTATTAAAGTAGGAAGCACCCAAATGGTTTACAAAGAAGAAGATAATGTTGCATAAATGATCAATGACTCAAAATTACGTTAATGCAGCAGAGGGATTGATGGTTGTTTGTGAAAAACTTTCAGCATTGGAAATAATTCTGACCGTATGTTCCCTTTAACAAAACAGGAGAGAAATGACACTAATTTTGATGCAAGCAGCCCAGTGGACTAGGACATTGGCTGTTATATTGTTAGTATATGGGTTTTTTTATATAGAGTGAAATGTTGCTTATAGTTTAAACAGTGTGAAGTAGTAATGCAAGAGTTAATGCATAGAGCTGTGATGTATTGCCAGAGCATAACTTAAGACAATTCCTGTAGAATGCTGAAGAACTGATAACATTGGAATGTGCTTCTTGTGGTGTGTGCAGATGTGAATACACATCAGTTATAGTGTAAATAGTGTATATTGGAATAAAGTTAAGTGCCGCTTCAGCCTTGAAGCAGAATTCAAGGAGTCTGCTGCATTATTATCTTTGTGCCTTCGAGCAGATGCTTGAGAGGTAAAGGAAGATTGACATAAGAGAGGCAATTTATCTTGATAAATCAACATATATTATGTTGTTTTACTTTTCATGGAGAAGCAAATCTCCCAAAGAAAAGAATAGTATTTGTTGGGTTATGACGTATAAAGAAGAGGAAGGGGTGGTCAGCATTGAATTTCTTTGGCATGCTATTCACTGCCACAGCTGCTGCTGCCGCTGCCGCTTCCGTCCCCTCTTCATTCACTTCCACAAAGGACTTGTGAACTATTTTGGACACATGGAGGTCATGGGCTGCCGACATTCCAGATAAATCCGCCTTGCCACTGTCAAAAATATCCCGCAATCCCAGTGCTTCCAAATAAAACTGAAGATCATAGCTTTCTTCCAGCTTAAATTTTGGCAGATGAACGTAGACTTCATTGTAGGAATGCATATTTTGGGGGGATGTCCACTTTTGGAGCTTGCCTAAGGTGAGCTGCTTCTCCAGCTACAATAATAACAAAAATACACATTAAATTCATTCTCATTGTGGCACAATGCTTCCATTGGATACATAGAAAAATGTATCATGCAAAAGCTACTGTTCCTACTGATGTCACCCAGCAGGACTGGAAAAGGCATCTTTCGGCTAGGACTACAGCCAGCTGACATTGGTAATACTCTGGCATTAAAGTAGACTTAAGGTCTTGATCAAAGTTAACTAAATCTTGGAAAACGTTTTTGATGCATGACTCTACTGGCTGGGGGAATCCTGGGAGATGTAGTCTTCTGAGCTCATGAACATTTATTGTTGCCCACTTTCAAGGATCCTGCATGGACTTTATCACACACTGCCCACCCTCCCCCGCCATTTTAAAACACTTAGAATCCATGGTTTATGACAGAGCCCTTCTTATAATGCAGGCAAACTTCCTGTCAGCTCTATCATACTTTTGTCAGAGAAATATCCGAAACAGTCGAAAAAAGGGAGGGGAGAGAAGACTATCAGAGATCGTGTCAGGACACAGGAACCAGGATATAACTGGAGAAAACACCCAAAACCACATGGGATATAAGCTGTTGAATCACCTGAGTTGAATTGGTTCAGTAATAGGGAGTGAGGGTTGTTCCTGCTAAGCATTGACATTTCTCTCCCAAAATCCTGCTTCATGAGCCTGGCATGGTAATTTTTTTTTAAATTAATGCAATCATTCAAAATACCGACATTTCAAAATATCTTTGTTTTTCCTGTCTGTGCTGCTAGCTTCTCGGACTTCTGCAATGGATAGTATTGAGAAGCCTGGTAATACCAGGATGGGAGGTGGGGGGGGGGGGGGGGGGTTGAAAGCTGATATCTCCAGAGTTATTCCCCCCAAGATTTTCTTTTAAATAAAAATGGAATGAACTGCACTTGCTGATGTGATAAATTTGAAAATTTATTACTTTGGAAGAAAGGGCAAGAAAGAACAACATATAAGATATGACAAATAGAACGATGTGCTTTGTAACTCTAAAGGACTAGACACCATGGCAATATGATCCCACCCCACCCCCCTGGTCCACGGGGTAGAGTTCTGAGTCTCCAAAATCATGTCATTTTTTTAAAAAATAAAAAAATGTAAGAAATAGTTCAAAAACTATACATCTAATCCCACTTAACTTGTGGTTGTGGGAAACTCTGGAAATGTTGCAAAGTGCTGAATGGAAAGGATTCATCCTACCAATCTACCCTTTTAAACTCCAAGGGGGAACATGTTTGCCTTCCAGACCTAATTAGGCAGATTTTGGATAATTTCCAGGGTGCCAGAGAAGCAGAGCAATAGTCTAACTAGAACTTTCTCTGCATTCTTTGCATTTCAGTAAACAATACTTCATAATACAAGGTGTTCTATGTGCCATGTGTTGCCAGTGAACACTCTGGCAGATCTGTGTTTTGCAAATACAAGCAGTTCCCAAACAAGATAGATTTTGTAGGTTTATTCCTGTTGAATTTGTATGGAAGTCGGAACACACAAATGTAACTCCAGCCAAACATACATACACACACACATGCTTTGGATAGCATAGGAAAGGGTTAACACCCCTGTGGTGCTTGTTTTTTTCTATCTGTGCCCCTGGTTCAGAAGATTTCACTTCACTTTCTACCCCTGTGATAATTGGATTTTGAAGCAATTGTTTTGAAAATAATGATTGGTGATAAAGCTTCAGCGGAGACATCTCTCCATGATAACTCTTTCAAGAGTGAATTTCCCTTCCTAGAAGTAGATTTCTCTCACTTCCTGCTGTCTCACTCCCGTTTCTAACTATAAGTCATTTGTAAGTCAGATGTCTATAACTCGGGGACTGCCTATACATGTAAGTTATCCTATGAGCAGGTACTTCTTGACTACAAGCACCACCATTTGCATCTGCAGCCAGGCTTGATCAAGGAAAGAAAAAGGGGAAAATGACAGACTCACCTGCTCCAGGCCAGTGGAATCATCTTCAATATCATCAGGAAGCAGGAGGATCATGCTAAGCTCTTTTCCCCGATAAGGTAGTTCCAGAACTCGACATTTGCATTCATCAATATAACTAAATGGTAGTTTCTTGTTCATGAACATCATCTTCACATTCTTCTTTTCCTTCTACATGGTGTCAGTAATATTACAGAGATGAGTATAAAGAATTAGAAGAAAGTAAAAGTGCATATTTTACAGATGTTATATGTTGGCAGAAATTTCAATGAAAGAAGATTTTGCAAAACCACATCAACCATGCTTTTAAACATTACATATTATTCTTATTAACATGGAATTACCACTCCATTAATTTATGGAACGTTATGAAGCATGCATAGAATAGACAAGGAAGATATTGTAATATAGGAGGCTGAACACTGAATCAATGAGCTGATAACAATGGGGTATGAATATAGCAGATGCCATTTGTCTTTTCCTTTTGCTCTTCTCCCTTGCAGCTGATGAGTAAGAGTTATTGCAATGAATGAAATGTAAATAAAGATAAGAGCCGCTACTGAAGCAGAAACAATTGTCTGAAGTCAGTTAATTGGACAATAAGAAGCAAATTGGCCAGCAAATTGCACTAAGGTTCACTTTTGGGTGGCCATAAATTGGAAACAATTGAAGGTATGCAGCAAGAAATACCTAGACTGAGTTTACTGTTTGATAATTTAACCACTCTCATGGTCCCACTAAAGTAGAGGTGGGTAACTGTTGGACAGGCTAGAAAAAGCAACTTTGCATCAAATTACTTCACTTTTGGCCGAAAATGAGACTTGGAAGTCACTTCTGGTTTGCACTTCTGGGATTTTTCAGCTAGTTTAAGGAGTCCAAAAGGTTTTTATGAGGAGGAGTGTTTCTGGCAAAGGTAGTATTACTCCTGGTGATGTTATGGAGCAGCTTATGGTTGCATATCCCTCCCAGGCAGTTCTTTCTACTACTGTTGATACTGTAGATGAACAATTTAAGACAGAAGACAGCATGAAACACATTCCAGTTACCTTACTAAGCCTAAAAGGCATATCTTTGGTGTGTTTATCTTCAAACTTCTCTTCCCAGGTACCTTTAAAGTAAATTGCATTCACTAGAACCAGTTTGGTCAGTTGATTAACAGAGTCTTCAGATAACAGCTCAGTGATTTTACCTAAAAGGGAATCATACAGAATTAAATAATCCCGCTACTAGAAAAATATTACTTTCTTCTGTTTTCAGGACATTTGTTACTAAGAAGTCAGTCCTAGGTAAATATGCACAGGATTATGTCTATAGGGCCCTTCCACACAGTCATATAACCCAGAATATCAAGGCAGAAAATACGACAATATCTGCTTTGAACTGGAATATATGGCAGTCTGGACTCAGATAACCCAGTTCAAAGCAGATATTGTCGGATTTTCTGCCTTGAAAACCCAGAAGGGTTTTATGGCTGTGTGGAAGGGCCCTTGGTTGTATTTCTCAAGCTATCCCTCTTCCCTGAACCTGCTTAACACAGCCAGATATACTCTCATAGAGAACAAAATTCCCATATGATAGAAGCAAAGTTACACTAATGTTTGATGTGTTAACCAACCCCCTGCAATAGACTCCAAATATGCATGCTTATGAGACTGACAGGAATTGGAATACAAAATCCATCCCAAAAGAAAAATAAAAGTCGTACTTGTATCAGTTCTTGTTTTTAAGGACATTATTTTTAAAGTTTTTGGAAGTCACAGAAACTTGAGAGGCAGAGAAATAAATCTAACTTAGTGTTAGCCTCTGGAAAATAACCTTCCATTCTGCTTCTACCCTCTCCACTTTTATTGGTTGTTAAACAAGATTGAGATAAATGTTTTCCAAGCATCTTTCACCTTCAGTTTGTCCCTCAACCCACTGGTTAATTTGTGTCCGTACACTTTTTGCAGCATTTAGGAAGTCTACCATGGATAGTTCTGTACCATATAGCTTCTGAGTACTGGTCAAGTAATCCTAAAGAAATGATAAAATATAAATATAAACATATATATTTTGGGGAAAAAGGCCACATATTGATGAACTACACATCTACCATAAATACTAGTGCATAAGTTAACCTCCTGTATATGTTGAAGGTAAATTTGAGGGGCAAAATAATGGATTCTGGTATGACCTTTAGATGAATTAAGGATCATTCCATACCAAGGGGAAATGTACAGAGGGCTGGTCATTGGCTCTTTTTAAACTAAAGTTCAGATACTTACTTACATAGCCCCATTGATAAGTCAGCTGTGGCTATGCGGGTTGGTTTTTGAACTGAAATTTTGAGACATATAAGTATTCAAATATCACTTATGCATTTTGACACATCTGAGGTAATCCTACTTGCTTGCCTGAGATTATTTTTACACAAGTCTTCTACAGTAGAATGGAAGTGGGTTAGCATCCACAAATAGGGGGCCTTTCTCCATGATTGATGCCATTTTGTTTTTTATTCCTAATGTGATCTGTTTTTTTTAAAAAAAAATTCAAAATGACCAATTTGTCAGACTTGGCCATCGTGTTGGCTTTTTAAAAAACACTTTTTTCATAAAGTGGTACAAAAGATATCTTTCATCAGTATCTAGCAAGGAAAAAAGGACACTTAATCTTTCATCTGGTTAAAGATATTGTCTCCAGCATAACATTTCTCTCAAAGAATTTCACAGAAATTCACTTTTTATAGTGGCTCGGTAGCTATTTGACATCTCTGGCCCATTCTCTGTTCAGTAATACCAAATGAGAAATTCCCTCCTGGGTACACAGAAGGTTGGGTGACTTGGAAGGCATTTAACAGGCTGCACTCTGGCACCACAAGATGCAGAGCCAACCTTAAGAAATGGGGTTACAAAGTGGAGTCCACGACATGCGAGTGTGGAGAAGAGCAAACCACAGATCTACTACTACAAATGCAGTCTGAGCCCTGCTACATGCACAATGGAGGACCTTCTTACAGTGACACCAGAGGCACTCAAAGTGGCCAGCTACTGGTTAAAGGACATTTAGCATAATGCCAAGTTTTTAACTTTGTGGTTTTTTTAATACATTGTAACTGTATTCTCAATTTGCTTCTGACATGAAAAATAACACTGTCTGTCTAAACATTATTCAGGATCCATATCAGGTCAAGAAATACTATGTCAGAGAATAATAATAATTCATTAAGAAATCACATTCAGAGGTGCAAAAGTGACAACGGCCAATTTTCACTCCTACCGTCAAATGTTGTTTTGCCAATTTTTAGCCAGATATCACTTCTGCATTTTTGAAAATTCAAGCAGCTTAGGAATGAGGAAACATTTTGAAGATAAGCCAAGGAGCCAAGAATCCCCAGGGAGCAGAAATATACTGTCTGGAGACCAAATATGGTCTCCAATAAAAAAAAATTAAATCACTAAAAAAAATTAAAACCCCAGTGGCACAGTGGGTTAAACTGCTGAACTGCTGAACTTGCTGACCAAAAGGTTGGCAGTTCGAATCCAGGGAGCAGGGTGAGCTCCCACTGTTAGTCCCAGCTTCTGCCAACCCAGCCATTCAAAAGCATGCAAACGTGAGCAATAGGTACTGCTTCGGCAGGACAGTAACTGCACTCCATCCAGTCAAGCTAGCCACATGGCCTTGGGAGTGTCTATGGACAATGCCGGCTCTTCAACTTAGAATTGGAGATGAGCACCACCTCCCTGAGTTGGGAAACCTTTACCTTGACTTGCCTATTAAAAAGGGGGGGAGGGAGTGGGGGATTTCTAGATACTGGAGGGAAGCCTGGGAGGAACAGAAAAGTATTGGCAGGGGAGGGGAGCTACACACTTCCCACTCCTGTTCTATCACAATTAAGAAACAATTCTAATGTTTAGACCATTTCCCCATTTTTACACAATCTCAGTCAACTCACCTTCAGGAAGCAATAGGTTTTTTCTCCATATAATCTATTAGCAAGCTTTAGTACATAAGGCGCATCACTCCGGTTTATGTTAGTACTGAGTGCATGGAGCCTTACATGAAGATCTTCAACAGCATCCAAGTGACATGTCTGCATTGAAAAAAAGCAGTTACCTAACTTATATCAACTGTGAATGTTTAATAATAGCAGATATATCCAGGAGACACACAACAATAACCCTTTAAAATATTTCTGGTCAGAATGGCAAAGAAACACAATGTGTTCAAAGTGTAATATATGTATGCAAGATGTGCCTGGCATGCCACAGATTAGAAAGATGATCCTGCATATATTGAATTTATTCCCTTTACATGTACACTAAATTTACTCAATTTTATTTTGCAAGTTGCATGGTTCTAGCGCAGTGGTTCCCAAGCTTCGTGCCTCCAGGTGTTTTGAACTTTAACCCCCAGAAATCCCAGCCATCTTGACAGGTGTTAGGATTTGTGGGAGTTGAAGTCCAAAACACCTGGAGGCCCAAAGGTTGGAAACCACTGCTTGCAGACATTTACTGTACATACAGGGACTTATCAATACCCAGACCTGTGGGGCAATATTAAGTAATTTTTTTTCATAATCTCACAACCATCAAGGCAAGTGGTGATTTTGCATGCATAAACTGTCTGCAGAATTATTTATTTATTTATTTATTTACAACATTTATATACCTCCCTTCTCACCCCAAAGGGGACTCAGAGCGGCTTACAAGATGTATATACGCACAATATATTAAGTTATTAGCATAGTACAATATCAGTATTATATATTACTATATTGTACTATACCATTATATTGTAATATTATTAGTAATATTACATGTGATATAAATATATAATTATATCATTATTATTAGTATTATATTGCATTATATTATAATATTATAAATATTATATTATATTATATTATATTATATTATATTATTAGCATAGCACAGGAGACAAGGTAGAACTGTCCCCTGGCCCCCTCTTTCTTCACTCTGGTCCAGAGTGGCAGTCCAAAATTGACTCCTTTATTCAAACGGATATTAAAAGCCAGGAACAAAATAGAAAAATGGCACAGAGAAGACTAGAAGTTCATCCAGTTAGAGCCAAACTGGATATTACAAAGCAAGTATCTTCCATCAGCCTCCCTCAGCTCCTGCCCCCTTTGTAATATAGGGGGAATGGGGTGGGTTGTGAATGAAGATTAACACAATTGTACGTATTTGAGGGTCTATTTTATATACTCATGTAGAATTTGACCTCATACATTTTGGTACTAAAATCGATTTGGATTTACATTGTACACAATGGCCTTTTGTTCCCAACACAACTCCTCTTTCTGCTTTGAATAATTCCACATGGGTTGGACTGTTTACTTAGGATGATGGCACATATATCTGAAAAAAGTCAGTGCAAAGTCCAAGCCCTCGAAGAAAGGGCAGTTTTATTGTCTAAGTGCTTTCCTAATAATTGCAAAACCAGGGTCATAAACTGCTGTGAAATGGTAAAGACACATTTACCTGCTTTAAAACAAAATAACAAGACCTCAGCATAAAAATTGCAGCACAAAATGAGCAAATTTGCTGACCTTTGAGAGTTGTGTTGCTGTGTCACCTTTGGCCCCTAAAAAGACCATAGCGAGTGCAGAGGTCATGCAGAGTGGAGAAAAGAAGATATTGCCTGTTGGGTTGGCTTCAATCAACTTTTGGAAGAGATCAAGGGCAAAATGAGTATTCGCATTAGCCAACTGATCCATGATGGTCTGTAGAATAAGACAAGACAAAACTATGCAGTCAATTATGTCTATTTATAAATCACCAATTGAATCTCATTGAGTATCTTGCCATATTAAAGGCTAACAAAGTTCATCTGGTGCCCCATTGTTTAATCCCAATGAAAGTAGATCCATTCAAACAAGTTGAAGGATGAGTTAACACACAGAGAAATCTAATAGATACAATTAATCTCCTGTAGTTGAAACTAAAATTGGACTTCTATTTGGTATAAAATTTCATGGACTAAGTCACATCTGTAGTCTATGAATTCTTATGCCAAATAAAGCTGTTGACGCTTTACTCCTTAAACTTTAAATACAGTGGTAAATATGAAATTCATCAAGTGATAGCAACTCAAAAGTCATGCAGGATGCAGTACTTTTAAATAGCCATTCTGAAACAAAGAAGCAACTAATCCAATGGCATTGAACTCCAAAACTCCGGATGATCTCTCCCAGTGGCTTCATGTACATGTTATCCACAAGCCTTATATATTCAAACGCCACTCTCCTGACTAAAAGCAAACCACAGGTGTTACTTCCATCAGCGCTAGTAATGATGTCTAATGATGAGGGAAAGAGGAGTTGTAGTTCAGCATTTGGAAAGTGACATAAAATCATTGAAAAACTAGAATAATAAAACTACAGCAAATTATGCTACAGGATGTCCCACAAAAATAAAGTTTTGCAGTTTAATAAACTTTTTCCATGTTTCATGATAGGATCAATTAGGAAATTACATTTATAACTCAGGGACAAAATAGGGTTGTTGCAGGTTTTTCGGGTTGTATGGCCATGTTCTAGAAACATTCTCTCCTGATGTTTTGCCTGCATCTGTGGCAAGCATCCTCTGAGGATGCTTGCCACAGATGCAGGCAAAATGTCAGGAGAGAATGGTTCTAGAACATGGTCATACAACCTGGAAAACCTACAACAATCCAGTGATTCCGGCCATGAATGCCTTCGACAATACGAGGGTTGAATCAAAAGTAATGCCTCCACCTTTGTTACTTGGGTTTGGATGGGAATATTTTAATAAATCAAACGCAGAAATAATCCTTAGAATGTGCTCTTTAACTACCACTATTCACTTTTCCACATAATCACCAGACAATTGGATACATTTCTGCCAACGATGAACAAGTTTTCTGAAGCCGTCATGGAAAAAGTCGACACTCTGTTTCCACAACCAACAGTTCTCTCAACGTCTTCTTCAGAAGCATAATGATGTCCCCGCAGATCTTCTTTCATTATCAGGAACAGATGGAAGTCAAAGTATTGTCAAAGGCTTTCATGGCCGGAATCACTGGGTTGTTGTAGTTTTTTTCAGGCTATATGGCCATGTTCTAGAGGCATTCTCTCCTGACATTTCGCCTGCATCTACGGCAAGCATCTTCACTACCTCACTACCTCTGAGGATGCTTGCCATAGATGCAGGCGAAATGTCAGGAGAGAATGCCCCTAGAACATGGCCATATAGCCTGAAATAACCTACAACAACCCTGATGGAAGTCAGATGGTGCTAAATATGGACTGTATGGAAAATCGTCCTGAATCAATTTGTCAACCTTTTGCTTGTGAAACTCGGTGGCTACTGTCACAGGATGTCCAACTCTTTGTTTGTCAAGCAAGTCAGATGTTCCCACCTCAACATCTTTAAACTTACTCGCACAACGATGCACAATATCTCACATCAACACAATCACTATAAACAGCTTGCATACTCTGATGAATCTCCTTTGGGGTGACACCTTCTGCTGTCAAGAATTCAATGACTGCACGTTGCTTAAGTTGCATTGACCAACTGTCTGCACAGGGTTCCATACTTCGCACTCTAACAACACAACAGTTCAATACTAAGGCTTTTCACCAAAGTGGAACTGTAGAGGAGAGTCTACTGAACAAGCCAGTACCTGCTGCATACTAGTACTACCATCTGTTGAGGTGTTACAAAGGTGGAGGCATTACTTTTCATTCAACCCTCGAACAACAAACATGTTACATAGTGAATCCAACACAAATACCTGAGAGTGCCAACTCCTTTTCTATCTGATACAAGCGTCTGCTCATTTAGGGCCCTTCCACACAGCTCTATAACCTAGAACATCAGGGCAGAAAATCCCACAATACCTGCATTGAACTGAGTTACCTGAGTCCACACTGCCATATATTCTAGTTCAATGCAGATAATGTGGGATTGTATTCAGCTGTGTGGAAGGGGCCTTACTGATGCAGATAGGACAGGGGGAAATCTTCCTCCCTCCATCCTCCACTCTAGAACAATGTCTCTCCAACAGCAAAACATGAGGCTGAAAAGCCTCTGGCATCCCCTGCTAGAATTGTTTGAAAGCACTCTGTGCCTTCCAGGAAAGTTTCCTACTAACAACCCTGTGGGTTGCAAATGCAAGCTAGAGTCAAGGCATGCCGTCCCGCGGATTGTTGGCGCTCTCTCACTTTCTCTCTCTGTCCTCCAACGCGGATGTCGGTGCTCTGAATCAGCCCAGCGGGTCCTGCATGCCCCTGGAAGATGCCTCTTTTGGGTTCCCGCAAACCGCGCCCTCCTCTTTCGCCAGGAAAGGGAGGAGGAGCAGCCACAACCTCCCTCCTCTCCTGCCTCTCCAGCTTCTCTTCAAGGCGAGGCAAACCTCTTTCTCTCTCTTCATAGAATTAATGCATTTCGACACCACTTTAACCATGGGACTTGTAGCCTTTAGCCTTCTCTGGCAAATACTGGAAGTTCCTCATCAAACTCCTGAGGGGGGTGCCAAAGGGGTCGCCAAAGACTATCAGAAAACACAGTATTTTATGTTGGTCATGGGGGTTCTGTGTGGGAAGCTTGACCCAATCATTAGTGGGGTTCAGAATGCTCTTTGATTGGAGGTGAACTATACATCCCAGCAACTACAACTCCCAAATGTCACGGTCTATTTTCCCCAAGCTCCACCAGTGTTCACATTTGGGCATATTGAGTATTCATGCCAAGTTTGGTCCTGATCCATCATTGTTTGACTCCACAGTGCTCTCTGTTTGTAGGTGAACTACAACTCCAAAACTCAAGGTTAATGTCTACCAAATCCTTCCAGTATTTTCTGTTGATCAGGGGAGTTTTGTGTGCCAAGTTTGGTTCAACTCCATCATTGGTGGAGATCTGAATGGTTTTTGATTGTAGGTGAACGAGAAATCCCAGCAACTACAACTCTCAAATATCAAAGTCTATTTTCCTCAAACTCTACCAGTGTTCACATTTGGGCATATTGAGTATTAATGCCAAGTTTGGTCCTGAGCCATCATTGTTTGAGTCTCTGGATGTAGATGAACTACAACTCCCAAACTCAAGGTTAATGTTTACCAAATCCTTCCAGTATTTTCTGTTGATCAGGGGAGTTCTGTGTGCCAAGTTTGGTTCAATTCCATCGCTGGTGGAATTGAGAATGCTTTTTGAATGTAGGTGAACTATAAATCCCAGCAACTACAACTCCCAAATGAAAAAAAAATAACCACTCCCAAACCCCACCAGTATTCCAATTTGGGCATATCATGCCAAATTTGGTCCAGTGAATGAAAATACATCCTGCATATCAGATATTTACATTACGATTCACAACAGTAGCAAAATTACAGTTATGAAGTAGCAACAAAAATAATTTTGTGGTTGGGGGTCACCACAACATGAGGAACTGTATTAAGGGGTCATGGCATTAGGAAGATTGAGAACCACTGTTTTAAGGAGTGTCTGTTGCCTTTTTCCTTTTCCTTGAGGCTGAGAGAGTGTGACTCATCTATGGTCACCCAGTTAGTTTCCATAGTGGAGCATGGATTCATAGTCTGTTCTTCAGACTCCTAATCCAACACTTAACCACTATACTATACTATCCTTACTGTCATGGCTCTAGGTCACTAAAATCAAGAAACAAACCTGCATGGTTGCTAATGACATTTTAATTCTGCAAAATACTAATTAACAAGATGAATTCAGATAAAATCCTTCCTTGGGGTGTGGCATGCACTGATTCATTCACTCAATGCATCACTGGTTTCAGAGCTCAAAGGTCAATGGTGCCAAAGCTACCTCAATACTCCAACTTGGCTCACAAAGCTTTTTGAAATCTTTTATCTTAAAGATCGATAGTGTTAATTTTAGACTCCAAAGAGGTCCTCCAAAATGGCCACCAGCCAAAAAAAATGTTGCTCATGCAGAATTCTGGTGCTTGTAGTTTTAGTGGGACTCAATACCTCTTTGGCATAGTATTTTCAAGTCCTTTCTCCTAAACTACAAGCCCCAGAATTTTGCATATATGCTCGAATATGCACACTGGTGGAGTTTGGGGAAAATAGACCTTGACATTTGGGAGTTGCTGGGATTTATAGTTAACTTCCAATCAAAGAGCATTCTGAACCCCACCAATGATAGAATTGGGCCAAACTTCCCACACAGAAACCCCATGACCAACAGAAAATACTGGAGGGATTTGGAATGAATTGACAATGATTAAGGGAAGATGTACTGTATATACTCGAGTATAAGCATAGTTTTTCAGCCCCTTTTTTAGGCTGAAAAAGCTCCCCTCAGCTTATACTCGAGTCAAGGTTATTTATTATTTTACTCTATTATTTGTATTATTTTTATTTCATGTATTATTTTACTCTCTTTATTATTATTACATTTATGGTATTTTAAATTATTATTATTATTGCATTTATTATTTTACTTTATTATTGCATTTATTACTTTACTTTATTATTACATTTATTATTTTACTCTATTATTACTGTTATTATTGCATTTCCATTATTTTACTTTATTATTATTAATAATAATATTTTTATTATTACATTTATTATTTTACTCTCTTTATTATTGTTGTAAGGATACGTAAGTACATTCACCTTGAAGAAGGTTAGACTAATGATTTAATCAGAGTTGGGCAGTTTTATCTCAAATTACAGTTTTATGTAAATATTCAAAAACATTTCACCTCCTGATGCCTCAATTAATGTAATTTTATTGGTGTCTATTTTTATTTTGAAATTTACCAGTAGTAGCTGCATTTTCCACCCTCAGCTTATACTTGAGTCAATATGTTTTCCCAGTTTTTTGTTGTAAAATTAGGTACCTTGGCTTATAGTTGGGTCGGCTTATACTCGAGTATATACGGTATATGGGGGCATTGAATTGTTGCCGGCTGTAATCCGCCCTGAGAAGGATGGGGAACAAATATTTGAAATAAATAATAAAATAAGATGTAGTTCACCTACATCTGAAGAGTACTGTGAACCCAAACGACTATGCCAAACGGGTTCCTAAGACCATCAGAAATATTTATTTTCTTATGGTATATGCAATAATAAAGTAAAATAATGGAAATGCAATTCAAGGTGCAGGTGATTGCCTACAAAGCCCTAAATGCTTTGGGACCTGCCTACCTGCGTGACCGGATCTCCATATATGAACCCACACGTTCCCTTCGATCATCTGGAGAGGCCCTGCTCATGATCCCACCTGTGTCGCAAGCGCGTTTGGTGGGGACGAGGGACAGGGCCTTCTCTGTGGTGGCCCCCGACTCTGGAACTCCTTCCCCAAGGACACCAGACAAGCCCCAATGGCCAACTTTGGCAATCTTTAGGAAGAGCCTGAAGACCTGGCTGTTCCAGTGTGCCTTTCCAGAATAGGAAACTCCTGGCATCATGTCCCAAATGCACTTTGTTAGTTTTAGGATTGTCTGCACATTGCACCTACCTCCAAAAAACCTCTACATATCACCTGTCAAGTCCAGCACTTTTTAAATTTTGTCCATTACATTTCCTGGCCTTTAGGTTTTAAATGCGTCATGGTGTCATTGTTTTTAGTGTTTTATTGTTTTGCTTGATGTTTTATTATTTGTTTATGAGTTTTATTGTTGTATTTGTATGCTGTTGTTTGTTCGTGGCCTTGGCCTTTGTAAGCCGCATCGAGTCCTTTGGGAGATTTTGCGGGGTATAAATAAAGTTAATAAATAAATAAATAAATGGTCTTTGGCGACCCCCCCCCCCCCCAAGGGGCCCCTCACTTCAATTCACTTCACTTCACTTTATTTCTTAATTAGTCGCTCTCCACCAAGGTGCTCTGAGCAACTTACACTTTAAAATAACATTTACACAATATAAAAACATTCAACTGTGACTATTTGGCAAATTAGATCTAATTACTTAAATGCACAAACTGCCCTGACCCCCAGTTTGAGATACACTGCTATAAGCTCTAGTGTGATACTGGTGAGTAGCTGTGGCAATCAAAGGCAGGCTGTCCCCAAGTTACAAACATCTTCACATTCTTCTTTTCCTTTTGGATGGTGTCAGTAGTATTACAGAGATGACTATAAAGATTTAGAAGAAATGTAAAAGTGTACATCTTACATATCTTATATGTTGGCAGGAATTTCAGTGAAAGATTGCTTTTGCAAAACCATGACACTGATACTATGCTTTTAAACATGACATATGATTCTTTTTAACATGGAATTTCCACCCCGTTCACTGGGTCTTACTTCCAAAGTAGTGTGCACAAGACGGTCAGCTAAAACAAACTCAAATAAGCAGAGTCAATTAATAGCATACTTTAGCCAGACAGTATAAATATTGAAACAAGATTTGCTAAATCCTCCTTCAAGGTTGAGACTATAAATCTAATCCCCCTAATCAGAGAAAATAAAACGAAAATTGCAGTCAGTCAGTCAGTAGCCTTTATTTTGGTCAATAACCCTTCAGCTGCAGTCAAGTGGAAATACATATGTCATTACAACATTTGGATCATAAATAACATCAAGTTCTGACTTATGGTTTAACGATAATAAAGATAATAGAGATAATAATAATAATAATAAACTTTATTTATACCCTGCCACCATTTCCCCAAAGGGGACTGGGGCGGCTTACATAAGGCCAAGCCCAGTGATACATTATAGCAAAATAAAATACAGAACAACAAAAATAACATCACAATAAAATAAATACAACATAAAAGTAAAATAAATAGTGCAAAATAACATCATGGCAAATCAAACACAATGAGAGGACCAAATGAATGACATAAAATGATAACACTCTGGATGAGATAACAATGAAAGATGTATATTTGTGATGGAGAGGCTTGTCTCCAATTTCTAAAAGTTGAGTAACTTCTTTGTATCATAGGACTAATTGAAGTTCTAGATTAAGTCCCCTAGGTAAAGGTGAAGGTTCTCCCCTGACATTAGCCTTCTAAGTGCTTGTTATTATTCTTCCACTGTTACAAGTTGCTCATGAAGCACTCGTGGCTTTTGGCTGCTGCAAAAAAGAATTTAGCCATCTGCTTTGTCACCTTCTATCAATCTTACTTTAATTTCATGGGGAAAGGTTTCATGGATGAAGAGCTGATATATCTGCATTCTTGGTTTCTAAAAGTTAAGATTCTGCTGTACCTGAGTGTGAGCATTTGTTAGTTGATTTGAATGTACAAGCAGATAAGAACAAGATATGTTCTATAAGTAAGGTAAAGTTTTTCCCCTGACATTAAGTCGTCGTGTCCAACTCTGTGGGTGCTCATCTCCATTTCTAAGCTGAAGAGCCGGCGTTGTTCAAAGAAACCTCCAAGGTCATGTGGCTAGCATGACTGCATGGAGTGCTGTTACCTTCCCGCCAGAGCGATACCTATTGATCTACTCACATTTGCATGTTTTCGAACTGCTAGGTAGGCAGAAGCTGGGGCTGACAGCAGGAGCTCACCCCACTCCCCAAATTCAAACCTGTGACCTTTCGGTTAGCAAGTTCAGCAGCTTAGCGCTTTAACCCATCGCACCACCAGGGGTTCCGGTATGTTCTATAGGTTTGTTTTTAAATTGAATTTGTATGGAAGTCAGAACAGGTGCATTTTTAAACTATATTATTTATTTATTTTATCATGGTTCAAAACATTTGTTATATATAGTTTGTTATGCAGCAGACACATAATATTCAATATTTAATACAAGCTGCAAGACATTTTTTGCATCTTCTGTTATTTTCACACCTATATACGTTTCTATCCCGTACCACTATGCTCCCCTCCACCCAAGCCATTTATTTTATACATCATCTGTCCAAAATTTCATTTCCTCTTGTGGAGGTAATTTTCCATCCCTTTTCAATAAATCTTCTCCATTCGTCATCAAAATTATTTTGTTTCCATATCCCACTTTTAATTTACATGTCAGATTATAATTGCCAATTTCCATACTTCCTTATACCATTCCTCTATTTGTATATTTATTTCCCTATAAGCAGTCTTGTTATTGTTAATAAATTTGATAGCACATACTTTTCTTCTTCTTTTCAACTGTTTATTATTATACGATAATGAAACCATACTAGGACTTCTTTCTATTCTGATATTCATTATATCCTCTATCTCTTTAAATATCTTTCCCCCAAATTTACTTACATAGTTACATTGCCACCACATATGTAAATATGTACCTATTTCTTGGCATCCTCTCCAACAATTTTTGAATAGTTTTTTGTTTATATTTGCTATTTTTATTAGTGTTATATACCATTTCCATATTAACTTATAATTTTCTTTAACTCGTATGGATAATTTTTTCAAATGTCTGTCTCCGTAACTGTGACCACTCCATGTCATTTATTGTTGTCCCTAAATCCTCCTCCCAGCCAAATAAATACAGTGGAACCTCTACTTAAGAGTGTCCCAATGTAAGAGCATTTTGAGTTAAGAACTTCTGCTCGGTCTGGGATTTGCTTTAACAAAAGAGTAGCATTTTGAGTTAAGAGCAAGCCCCAGAGGAAGCACTAGCACCAGAATACAGAGCTTTAGGGCTTCGAGGGAGCAGCCTCTGTGCCTTGTGGTCTTCTCTGCTTTGGGAGACTGCTGTCTGTTTTGCTCTCGTCTGCTTTGAGGAACTTTGAGTTAGTTGATTTTGTGTGGTATTTATTCTTGGTATGTCTGGTGTGATGAATCGCATACCTTTTAAGTCAGAGTAAGCTCAGGGAACTTCAAGGGTGCCATCCATCCATCTTGCCCTTGGTTGGCCCCTCTTCCTTTTCCTTCCATTTTCCCCAGCATCATTGTCTTCTCTAAGCTTTCCTGTCTTCTCATGATGTGGCCAAAATACTTCATCTTTGCCTCTAATATCCTTTCCTCCAGTGAGCAGTCGGCCTTTATTTCCTGAAGTATGGACTAATTGGATCTTCTCGTGGTCCAAGGCACTCTCAGAATCAAAAGCATCTACTTCCTTCACTCAACCTTCCCTATGGTCCAGCTCTCACATCCATAGGTTACTTCGGGGAATATCATTGCTCTAACGATGTGAATCTTCATTACCAGTGTGATATCTCTACTCTTCACTATTTTATTGAGACTGGTCACTGCTCTCCTCCCAAGAAGTAAGCGTCTACGGATTTCCTGGCCACAGTCTGCGTCTGCAGTAATCTTTGCACCTAGAAATACAAAGTCTGTCACTGGCCTCCACATTTTCTCCCTCTATTTGCCAGTTATCAATCATTCTTGTTGCCATAATCTTGGTTTTTTTATGTTTAACTGCAACCCAGCTTTTGCGCTTTCTTCTTTCACCTTGATTAGAAGGCTCCTCAGCTCCTCCTCACTTTCAGCCATCAAAGTGGTGTCATCTGCAGATCTAAGGTTGTTAATGTTTCTTCCAGCAATTTAAACCCCAGCCTTGCATTTATCCAGCCCCGCACATCGTACGCCTTTCCCAATCTTGAACCAGTCTGTTGTTCCATGGTCAGTTCTTACTGTTGCTACTTGATCCTTATACAGATTCCTCAGGAGAGAGACAAGGTGATTTGGTATGCCCATACCACCAAGAACTTGTCACAATTTATTATGATCCACGCAGTCAAAGGCTTTAGAATAGTCAATAAAACAGAAATAGATGTTTTTCTGAAATTCCCTGCCTTTCTCCATTATCCAGCAGATATTGGCAATTTGGTCTCTCGTTCCTTTGCCTTTTCTAAACCCAACTTGTACATCTAGAACTCTCTCTCCTTGTATTGCTGGAGTCTTCCTTGAGGGATCTTGAGCATTACCTTACTGACATGTGAAATAAGGGCCACTGTATGAAAGTTTGGACAAGTTAAACATGAGCCAACAATGTCATGTGGCCACAAAAAAAGCCAATGGGATTTTGGCCTGCATCAATAGGAGCATAGTGTCTAGATCTAGGGAAGTAATACTACCCCTCTATTCCGACTTAGTTAGACACCTGGAATATTGTGTCCAATTCTGGGCACCACAATTCAAGAGAGATATTGACAAGCTGGAATGTGTACAGAGGAGGGCGGCTAAAATGATCAAGAGTCTGGAGAACAAGCCCTATGAGGAGCAGCTTAAAGAGCTGGGCATGTTTAGCCTGAAGAAGAGAAGGCTGAGAGGAGATATGATAGCCATGTATAAATATGTGAGAGGAAGCCACAGGGAGGAGGGAGCAAGCTTGTTTTCTCCTTCCATGGAGACTAAGACGTGGAACAATGGCTTCAAACTACAAGAAAGGAGATTCCATCTGAACATGAGGAAGAACTTCCTGACTGTGAGAGCCATTCAGCAGTGGAACTCTCTGCCCTGGAGTGTGGGGGAGGCTCCTTCTTTGGAAGCTTTTAAACAGAGACTTGATAGCCTTCTGGAGAGTTCAGGAAAACCCCTTTTCTAGAAGAATTTAAAAAGAACCTTAAAACCTGGCTCTTCCGCTGCGACTTTGGTGAGTAGGTGCACACCATGACGTTTTGTACCCCTCAATGCTTTTTTGTTACTGGAGTTTGTGCCCACCAAATGGGAAGTTCAACCTCATAAATCCCCGTAAATGTCTTGCTCCTATTTTATCTCATCACAGTTTTTAAATTGTTTTATCCTGTACATGTGGCCTGCCCATTGTTATGGTGATTTATTTATTTTTGTTGTGTCAGGAGCTACTTGAGAAATTGCAAGTCGCTTCTGGTGTGAGAGAATTGGCCGTCTGCAAGGACGTTGCCCAGAGGACACCTGGATGATTTGATGTTTTTATCATCCTTGTGGGAGGCTTCTCTCATGTCCCCACATGAGGAACTGGAGCTGAGAGAGGGAGCTCATCCGCCTCTCCTCGGATTTGAACCTGCGACCTGTCGGTCTTCAGTCCTGCCGGCACAGGGGTTTAACCCACTGCGCCACTGGGGACTCCGTTATCGTGATTGTGTTTATTAGAATGTTATTTTAAGACTGTTTTTCTCTTATTATTATTAATGTACTTTGATGCTGTTGTTTGTTGTTTATGTTTTGATTTTATTGCTGTAATATGTTGTCCGGGATTGGCCCCATGTAAGCCGCTCTGAGTCCCCATCGGGGAGATGGTGGCGGGATAGAAATAAAGTTTATTTTATTATTATTATTATTATTATTATTATTATTATTATTATTATTATTATTATCTGTCGGGGGTGCTTTGAATGCAATATTCATGCTTCTTGGCAGGGGGTTGGTTTGGATGGCCCATGAGGTCTCTTCCAACTCTATGATTCTTTAGCATTTCCCTTTTTTGGTATGGGGATATAAGTTGATTTTTCCCCCCAGTCTGATGGCCATTCTTGTGTTTTCCATATTTGCTGGCATATGGCATGCATCACCTTGACAGCATCCTCTTTCAAGATTTTAAACAGTTCAGCTCGGATCCCATAGCATTGAGCCCTGGCAATTCAACTAGGCTCAAATTGCTGTGATATGGGAGCAACTACAGCTCTCTCTCTCTCTCTCTCTGCATAGTAACAGCAACCCTGGAGGCGAGGCGAGGCGAGACGTCCACCCCCGCGGGTGAGCCATTGCAGCTGAGAGTCTTTCCCGGAGGCAGAGCCAGAGTCCCGGAAGAGGACTGTGAATCAGCTTCCTCAGTCCTTTCTCTTTCCTTCCTGGTCTCATCGCAGTCTCTCTGACCCAGCCGCCTGCTGATTGACTCCTCTTTCTCCTCCCTTACTGCCTTTTGCTTCTCTGCTGCCGGTTTGGAAGCCCAAGATCTCCCTTCTGTTGCTCAATCGCACTGCACAGCGCCGCTATTCTGCTTGAACTGCCAGGTAAACATATGTTGCATTCCTCTCTCTGTTCAGAATGGCTGCTTAGAATACCTTTACCACACCCTCTCTGTATATGTTTGTGGCAAAGGTACTTTGGCAGCAAGATCAATCTGATGTCTCCCTTTAAAGGCTTCCAGACAGGCCTTATATCCCAGGATCTGATCCCAGCTTTTCTGCTATAAACTGGATTATATGAGTCCACACTGCCAGATAATCTGGGATAAACAGAAAATTTAGAATCAGATCCTGGGGTATTAGCCCTGTCTGGAAGGGGCCATATTTATATTAAAGGCTCACATACTCTTAATGAGTAATTTTAAACTTCCACTCTTTGTCTGACTTTTGTTTTGTGTGTTTTAACATGTGTTTTATGGAAATGCTGTTTAAATATGTGTATTCTACAGAGTGTTTTTAAATAATTGTGTGTTTAAGCAGTGTTGTAAGCCGCCTCTAGCCGTGGGGAGAGGTGGGGAAGAAATAATGATAATAATAATAATAATAATAATAATAATAATAATAATATAGCACTCTATCTGTGTGTATAGGTATATGTATAATGTATATAAATAAAATTATATTTGTGTATAGTAGAGGTAGTGTTACAGCAAAATGCACCTAATGTTTCCCATTGGTATCTTAAAGACTTATTTATACACATGTGGGTGTAGGTATATGTATAGTGTGTGTGTGTGTGTGTGTGTGTGTATGTACAGACACATAGACACATACATACGTACATACATACTAGCTGTCCCCTGCCACATGTTCCTGTGGCCCAGTCTGTGTATATGTGTTTTGTGTGTGTATATATGTGTGTATATTTGTGTATATGTGTGGTTGCATATATATGTGTCTGTGTGTGTTTGCACATGCATTGTAATTTTTTTGTTTTTGTTTTTTGGCCTTTTAAGTCTCTTCTACTGTGTTTTTCAGTGTTTTTATGAGTGATGGTCACTTGTTGGACTGATAAGTGTATTGTGTCTAAATTTGGTGTCAATCTGCCCAGTGGTTTTTGAGTTATGTTAATCCCACAAACTAACATTACATTTTTATTTAGATAGATAGATGATAGATAGATAGATAGATAGATAGATGAGAGACAGTGTGTGCATATATATGCATCTATATAAATAAAAATGTAATGTTAGTTAGTGGGATTAACATAACCTAAAAACTACTGGACAAATTTACACCAAATTTGGTCACAATACACCTACCAGGCCAACGAGTGACCATCACTCATAAAAACACTGAAAAACACAGTGGAAGAGACTTAAAAAGCCAAAATGAAAATTAAAAAATACATTACAACGCATGGCCAAAACCACATATATACACATATACATAAATATATACACACACATATATACGCACACAAAACACATATACACAGACTGGGCCACAGCAACGTGTAGCAGGGGACGGCTAGTTATGTACATAAGAACAAAAAGAGAGCCCAAAGTTACAATGGGGCCTGATATGTGCTGTATACGATGCTATTTCATTAGACGCCATTTAGGTGACAGCTTATATGTAATGTAAATTTATTTCCTATATATACTGTATATAATGCTATAGTGTCCTAACTTAGAAACAAAAAAAATAAAGGAGTTATTCAAAACTGAAACCCTGGTGTCACTTTAGGTCCCGTTTATGTATAATGTTGTATATAAATACAGTTATATGTGTGTGTGTAGCAGAGATAAACTGGCAGCAAAACGAATCTAATTGTTCCCTTTGCTATCTTAAAGACTTATTTATATATGTGTGTGCAGGCATATGTATAATGTTGTATATAAATGACATTATATATATGTATTGTGTAATGCTTTCATGGCTAGAATCACTGGGTTTTTGTAAGTCTTCCGGGCTGTATAACCATGTTTCACCTGCCCGAGGATGCTTGCCATAGATGCAGGCAAAACGTCAGGAGAGAATGCTTCTGGAACATGGCCATACTGCCCGGAAAACTTACAAAAACCCAAATTATATATATGTGTGGTTATATATTCATAAGAACAAGGAGAGTCAGAAAGTCACAAAGGGGTCTGATTTATGCTGTATATAAGGCTGGATCTACACTGCCCTGTATCCCAGGATCCAATCCAATATTATCTTCTCTCAGATTATCTCCAAAAGTGTAGATTCCAGATTATCTGCTTTGAACTGGATTATATGAGTCTACACTGTCAGATAGTCTGGGATAGCCAGAAAATCTGGGATCAGATACTGGGATGCAGGGCCGTGTAGATCCAGCCTTAATTTGCGCTAGAAATTTCTATGTAGCTATGGGATGTGGGGAAATATGGTTTAATCTTGAAGCGACAACAAACAAGGCACGTAAAATGTTAATTGGCTAAGGGGGGGGGGGGGGGGGGGGGGGGGGGGGGGGGGGCTTGAGGGGCTTCAGCCCCCCCCCCCCCAAATTCTCATGGTGGTTCGCGAAAAGGCCTTACTGGTGCATTATTTAAACTGTTATGTTTATTCATATCATGATCTGATCACTATACTCAATATATCCCATATGCATGGGGGTATTGGGGTAACGATACAAAAGGTTTGCTAGGGTAGACCATCTTTCACTCAGACTCAGCTCCCCCACCCCCGAAACAAACTCAGCCCCCCCACCCCGAATCAAAATTCTGGCTATGGGCCTGGATGTGTCTGACTTGTTTTCTGCTCTTTCCTTCTCTCAAGGGACAATCTTGGCTGATTTGTAACTAGGTGATACAGTCTACAGTGTCAGGTAAGCTGTGTGTCCAGGGTGTGGCACTTGCTGGAGACTCATACACAGGGTAGGATCCAGGGCTGCATTTTGTAACACCCTTCTGTGAGTACAGAAGGCAAAAGAAACAGAAGACCTCCCCTTTTTAAAGAAAAATAAGGAAATGCTACAATATAAATCATGAAAATTGATAGAGTGTTTTCTCAGGACCCATCTACACAGGCCACTGAATGCAGGGTTGGACCAGGGTGGCAGTACTCCAGCCCTTTGCCAGAGGTGGCTGCATTGTGCGTCTCCATCTCTCTGCAGTGGCGGGATGGAGTCCCTACCATCCAGTCGGGCCAAATCTTATTTGACCCCACTGGATGACAATGTTTCCCTGAGACCATTTTTTGGCACCACAGCAGCCACTGAACTCCAGAGAGCTCCTGGCCATTGCTTTCTGTCCTCTGCAAAAATAGATCTGCAAAATTAGTGGTTTCCTGGTTGAACAAATCAGCTCCTATAAATATTTTGGTATGCATTTTATAACATGGGCAAATGGGTGGTTTTTATTCATAAGAGGATCACAGTGCTTGAAAATTATCTCACTTTTTTCTGACTAAAGGTAGTGGATTTGTTCCCATTTTTCCCTGTCAAAGTTTTAAGGACATAATTTGGTATGGGATAACAATGTATACTTGTATTCCTCTATTGCAAGAATCTGTTTTTCATTTTTGAGGTTTGTTCTTAGTGGACTTTGCTGAATGCTTGAGGTGGAGCCGTGCTTAACATGGTTGGAAAAGCTTATCTCATAGTCTAGTTGTGAAATCCTGTGTGTTTTTCTTCAAGTTGTCTGTCAATGTACAAGGACCCCATCAATTTCACAGGCTTTTCTTATGCAATAAATTACTCTGAGGTGGTTTTGCCAGTTCCTTCCTCAGAAATATAGCCTACAGCACCTGGTATTCACTGGTGATCTCCCATCCAAGTTCAGAGCAGAACGGATCATTCTTAGCTTCCATAATCAGACAGGATTTGGTAACTCTAGGTGTCTTTATGTCTCATTTTGGAAAAAAAAATCTGATATAAAAGATTTTTCCATTCCTTTTGTTGGCAGGCAAAGACGTTTTAACTCAAAGCAGGCTTTTAATATGCAACCACTTTCAGGGAGGTTTATATGAGAGGGGTCTTTGCTTTTTTATATATATTTTACATTTGCTGGGCATTCCACAGATATGTAAACATCACTTTCTTAGTTTCCAATAGACCTCACAACCTCTGAGGATGCCTGCCATAGATGTGGGTGAAACATCAGGTAGAATGCTTCTGGAACATGGCCGTACAGCCCGGAAAACTCACACCAATGCAGTAAATCAAAGGTGTCCTCCCCTTATTCTGTTTTCAGCAAGAGTTATGCGGAAAAAGCAGCTTGCATGTTAAATCTTGATCAAGCAGGGATTTTTGGCAGCTGGCAGAGTATGTTAGCCCTGTCCTCTTCTAATTTGGGTATTAAGTGTTCCTCCAAACGATGACTACATTTTCTGTCTAAGCAACACCGTGCCCTTGGTGATGATTGAAAAGGGTTTTCATCATATTCTCTGCATCTAGTGTTTTGTCCACATTGCTCAGGCCTGTTAAGATCATGGTACACATCCTTGTGTGCTGTTATTTTTTTTTTGTTATGCTTGGTGGAAAGGCTACATTATTTTACTTTGCTCTTAAATATTTTCCTTGTATATATCATTCTGCTCTACGGAACGTATGTTTACATGGAAACAGTCATCTAGATATTGATTATTTTGGCAGATTTTTTAAAATACTATCATTTCTATTGGATCTAAAATATGTATTGATCATCTGTGGTTAGAATCGGTCTTGCAATTATTATGTCAACATTCCATGCCACAACAGTTCATGGTGTTTACTTCTTTTTACTCTATTTACATTTTCTTAGCCTCAGAGAAAAGCAAAGGCAAGTCTCCTCTGAATGAATCTTGCCAAGAAGACCCCATGATAAGTTCACCTTAGATTTGCCATAAGTCACAAACTACTTGAACGCACAAAACAACATTAGAAAATCAGTGATTTTAAGTAAGGGAATAAACAGTATCACATAAAATAGGAATGGGGGGGATGCAAGTAGAATATGTGGGGATTTGTAAATAAATAAATAAAAAGAAAACACCATGATGTAATGGGTTGACTGGAAAGGCATGTGTTGGCAGCTGATTGACTGAGCATTCTAGGAGACAGAATTCTGATTGGCTACTGTCTCTAGCTTGCCCATGAGACAAACGGTTTTAACTGCCACTTTCACCTCAAAGAGTGAAGAGAGCGCTGACCAGAAACAGCTAGGAAGGAAATGACTGCCAACTCTCTAAAGACTGATCATTTCTAAGTAAATCAAAGGTGTCCTCCCCTTATTCTGTTTTCTGTTAAAGACTGTTTGAAAGGGACTGTTTATTCTCTCTATTCTCTGTAAGAATTCAGAGAGACTACTGTATATATTGTTGCTCTGTTTGACCTTTTGAACTGAAGTAAAGTTACTGTTAATCTGACTGACACATTATTATACTGCAGGGTATATTTTGGTTCAGAGACAGTAGTAAAGCTTTAATTTATTTTATTTTAATTAATTTGTTTAATTTATTCATATCTACAACTCCAAACAGAATAAAGAGATTTTCAGTGAAATTAAGACAGATGTTTTCATATCACTACCTTAGACTCTAGCCCTTTCTACACTACCATATAAAATCCAGATTATTTGCTTTGAACTGGATTATATGGCAGTGTAGACTCATATAATCCAGTGCAAAGCAGATAAGCTGGATTATATGGATAGTGTAGAAGCCCCCCCCCCCCTGTTTATTCCTATCTCCTGCCATTTCAAAGAGTGTAAAAACTTGGGAAAAGATGAGTTGATGCCACTGCGACATGGGATTTGATAACACATGTTTAAGTATCTCTTGTAAGAGGAGCTTGAGCTTTAACATCCCACTGTTATTCTCTTCTGGCCGTCCGTAGGTGTGAAAGATGGATAAACTCACAGCACCCAACACTATATTTGCCCTCAATCTTTTCAAGGAGCTAAGTGAAAAGGATACAACAAAGAACATGTTTATTTCTCCCATGAGTATTTCTTCTGCTCTCTCCATGGTCTCTATGGGAGCCAAAGGGAACACTGCAGACCAAATGGCAACGGTAAATCCATATATATATTATTAGGTGGGGAAAATAACCTGTTTTGGTTTTGAACTGAGTTTTGAGTAACTTCCATTTTATTATAATAGACATTCTGTAAGGAATAAGGATGTTCCTAAGTTCAGATTCCTGTGCAGGCTTGCCTTTGCATTCTTGCCAATATAGATTAAAGATATTCTGTCTCTCCCAATGTCATCAATCTTTTTGTCCTGTGAAATCTGGAAGAAGAATTGAAGAATTGATGTTTTTCCTCTTTAATTATTAAAAAACACTGTTTTTTTCCTTTTCCTTAAATAAAAAAGCTATGGTAATGAATTAAAGAAAGAAAGGGCTTGTGATCAATGCAGTTCCGTGCTGAAATGCATTATTTTTAACTTTTTTGGGGTATCATTTGCGAAATATCTCTAATCAAATCTGAATGCAACATAAAATGTAACTAATGACAACTATCCTTTTGCAGGTATTATCTGTGCCCAAAGGTGGAGAGCTTCATCAGGAGTATGGGAAACTTATTTCTGAAATCAACAAGCCAGGCACCAAGTATTTGTTGAAACTAGCCAACAGGCTTTTTGGAGAAGAGACATATGAATTTCTTGCAGTAAGTAACCTACTACTAGCAGGAACCCCCGGTGGCGCAGTGGGTTAAACCCCTGTGCCAGCAGGACTGAAGACCGACAGGTCGCAGGTTCAAATCCGGGGACAGCGTGGATGAGCTCCCTCTATCGGCTCCAGCTCCTCATGTGGGGACATGAGAGAAGCCACCCACAAGGATGTTAAAACATCACAACATCCAGGTGTCCCCTGGGCAGCGTCCTTGCCAACGACCAATTCTCTCACACCAGAAGCGACTTGCAGTTTCTCAAGTCGCTCTTGACACGACCAAAAAACAACAACAAAAAATCCCTACTACTAGTGCAGGAAACCCTCCAAAATACCCTTGACAGATGACCATCAGGTTTCTGTTTAAAGGCCTCAAAAATACCCTCCAAATTAATCCACCCAACTGTCAAACAACTGAGCTGTATAGCTGTGTTCCAGAAGCATTCTCTCCTCACGTTTCGTCCACATCTGTAGCAGGCATCCTCACAACCTCTGAGGATGCCTGCCATAAATGTGGGTGAAAACTCAGGAGATAATGCTTCTGGAACATGGGCATACAGCCCAGAAAACTCATAGCAACTAGTGTCAAGGAGTTTTTGCTGTGTATTTAAATGTGTATTATAAACTATTAGTATATAGTCTGTTTGTGGCAATTTAACCTACTGCCTCCACCACTGAGTTATATCCAATTCCACTTAGACCCAGTTAAGTCTTACACAAAAGTGTCAAAAAGTGTTAAAACTCACATTCCACATTGTAATAAAATGCAGTAGATAATAGAGGTGTATAGTGATCATTGGTCTTAAGTTATTGTAGGAGATACTTTTAATATCTCAGAAAAGATTGAGCGGTTTCTTTGGTTCCTAAAACCATCTAATTATATGCACATGTAATTCCGTGACACAATAATAATAATAATAATAATAATAATAATAATAATAATAATTCTTACCCACTTCTCCTCATGGCTCAAGGCAGGTTACAACATTGCTAAAACACATAATCAAAACACATAGTTTCGTAAAGTAAAAGTAAAGATTTCCCCTTGACATTAAGTCTAGTTATGTCTGACTCTGGGAGGTGGTGCTCATCTCCATTTCTAAGCTGAAAAGCCGGCGTTGTCCGTAAACACCTCCAAGGTCATGTGGCTGGCATGATTGCATGGAGTGCCGTACCCTTCCTGCTGTAGCGGTACCTACTGATCTACTTACATTTTCATGTTTTAGAACTGCTAGGTTGGCAGAAGCTGGGGCTAACAGCGGGAGCTCACCCTGCTCCCCAGATTCGAACCCCAAACAAAAATGAGACATAGAATTGAAGTTTAAAATTAGATTTAAAACCTCAAAATTATGGTTGCTTGGAAATATATTTCATTTTCAAGCTGGAACTTCAATGGCTAGTAGTTACCAAAGGCTCTTTCAATGTGAAGTATAGCTGACTTTAGATCCAGGTATGTCTTTCTGCTGGAAGGAAGCCTCAGGCAGAGCTCAGTGTAGAGTCTTTACAGTAGCTTTCATTCAATATTTCATACAAGGACAAGGCTTTTCTTCCTGCCCAGTGAACCATGTAGCATGTCATCCCTTTCCGCCATGGATTATATTATAAATTATGCAACTTCCACTTCCACTCATTGTATTGTGTGCTGTGCTGAGAGAAGTAGTATCCAGGCATGTGAATTATAATTTGCTGTACAATACTGTAATGCTACTTTTGTATATGGAATTCATCATGGAAGTGTGACTCCCTTATGTCATATTTCTGAGTTTTTAAGGGCCGAAAATTCCCATGTTCATAGGAAATTCAGTAATGTTATGTGGATCATACTGTATTATGTATATTTTTGAGTCAAGGAATTTCTCTTGGTTCAGATGCATAATTTATTTCATTTTATCACAAATACTGTAAATTAATTTCTAGGATTATGCTGGACTTTCTATCAATGTGAACTTTACTAAAAGTCTTTAGAGTAATATGTTAATAGCTTTTCCAGGTGCATACAATACTGAATAATAATAGTAGTAACAGCAACAACAACAACACTTTGTTTATATTCTGTCCTATCTCCCCGAGGGGACTCAGAGCGGATTACAGTATATACAAACACAAACACAGGCAAACATTCAATGCCTTGATATAATTAACAGAAATTCACAGAGATTCACAGACAAAGACAAAGGCTTCCCCTTTCATCTCTGGCTCTGGAGGCAGTGCTCAACTTCCAGCTCTGGGGGAGGTGTTCATCTGAATTTCCAAGCCGAGGAGCCTGTGTTGTCCGTAGACACCTCCTGGTCGTGTGGCCAGCATGACTGCTTGGAGCGCCTGTTTGCTTTCTCTCGGAGGTGGTACCTATCGATCTACTTACATTTGCATGTTTTCGAACTGCTAGGTTGGCAGGAGCTGGGGCTAACAGTGGGAGCTCACCCCATCCAGCAGATTAGAACTGTCAACCTTCAGGTCAGCAAGTTCAGTGGCTCAACGCCACCCACGGCCCTACAGTACTATACAATACTGAATATTGAAATCAGTTCCTTTCTTTTTTTTACAGTTTGTGACAATGTGAGAGCATAGTTTTTATATGATACATAAATTGTAATGGGTTTTAGTAATAAAACATCTTCATTTTGTATTTAAGCCATTTATAGACTCCAGCCAGAAATTCTACCAAGCTGGTCTAGAGAAACTGAGTTTCACCAAAAACTCAGAAGATTCCAGAAAACATATAAATGCCTGGGTAGAAGAACAGACGGCAGGTGAGTAAATCTTGGACTTTTTAAAGAAAGGGAAAGTGGAATTCAGCGAATGCTTAACTTGATTGCATTACTGTAAATGAGAAACAGCTACCTGTATTAAACAGCTTTTTCTTTCCTCCTAAAGGTAAAATTGCAAATCTCCTTGCACCAGGAATAGTTAACAACCTGACAAGGTTGGTCTTGGTGAATGCTATCTATTTCAAGGGAAATTGGGCAAGTCAGTTCCAGAAAGAACATACGATGGAACGACCATTCAGGATTAACAAGGTATGGAATTGAAACAAAGATTTTAACAACCCTGTTGCAGATTCTGCTTTTTGAAAGTACCTCCCCGCTTCCAACATGTTGCCTTCAAATGATGAGTCCCACTATTTCAAATTATGATACTGGGAAAATATATGAGATGATTTTTTAAAAACTGATATGGTTCAGGCACGAAGAAATATGTAAACCCTACATTTTAACATAAATTTTTATCTCTGTGTTAGTAGCATTCTTGCCTTTTATCCCACATTTCAAATAGACACATTTGAGTTTCAAACGGATGTGGATCTAATGTAACTCCTTGCTGACTTATACATTAAGTCTATTCTTTTGTTTTTCTTCAATCCATCAGCCTGCAGCTTCTCTCACCGAAGCTTCTCACACCAGGCCATCCTCATACTCTGAGGTCTACTAACTCTGAGGCCTACCTCACACTGAAGTTTACCTCACACTGAGGCATCTCTCAGACTGAGGCCTCTCTTAGATTGAAGCCTCTTCATACTGAGGGCAACTAACACTGAGACATACTAAGCTACAGGGACACCTGCTTATATTGAATTGTAGCTTTTGCTGAGTCATTGCATCCATTTAAGTATTGATATTGATGTTTAATGATTTGTGGTGCTATTGCTTTTAAATGCTTAATGATTTTGTATTGTGTATACCTAAATTGTTGTAAACCGCTCTGAGTCGCCTAAGGGCTGAGAAGAGCGGTATACAAATAAAGTAAATAAATAAATAATAAATAAATTTAACCCTTTCAGTGCTTGATTCACATTTTTGTAATTAAAAATACCTAGTTAATTTTTAATATATAATCCAGTTTAAATAAGATAATCTGGGATAAGATCCTGGGATATATGTAGAAGGGGCCTTCGTCTCATAGATGCAGTGAGACTCCTCTAGTTTGTACAAACATTGGTTCCATGTAATGTAATCTAGGCCTTACATTCACACACAATTGGGCACAGATGCATTTGCTACTATGGTCTACTTTGGCATCACAATGGAAGGCTCATCCTATAGTTTTTCAGCAGCACCTTTGTCTTTTTTTCCTAACACACCTTCCCCCTTCTTTCAGAATGAAAGCAGGCCAGTGCAGATGATGTTTAAGAAAGCAAAATACAACATGACCTATATATCAGAGTGTCGGACCAAAGTTCTGGAGATCCCTTATGTGGATAATGACCTGAGCATGATTATTCTGCTTCCTGATGCAATTGAAGATAATTCCACAGGTCTGGAGAAGGTAAGACTGCCTGCATATTAGAAATAAGCAGTGGTAGTCACTGTGTACCCCATCAACTGTTATCATTAACATTATCCTTTGTAGTAACGGTGATTATGTGTCTTATATTATTTCCAACTTATGGTGACTCTAAGACAAATGTGGCACAACGTTTGCTTGGTAAGATTTGTTAAAAAATAGTGTGCCATTGCCTTTCTCTGTGACTGAGAAACTGTTGCTTGCCCTAGGTCATCTACTGGACTAGGATTTTAACGTTGGTGCTCCAGCATCCTAGTCAAGCCGTCAAATCACTACGTCAGACTGTTGTGTATGTAATAATATGTCTCATTTCTGTAAATGTGGCTTGAATGCTGTGCCCTATTTCAAGTCACATCAATTCCTGGAAAGCAGCTGGTTTCTGGAATTCTTTTTTTCCCATCCTAAATTCATTATTTGTATAGTACAAACTCTGTATCTGCAAGACCAGTGTATGTGGTTTGACAAAATGTATCCTTCTCAAGCTTTTTTTTAGGTCCTCCACTGTGACTGTATCATATTCTTGGGCCAAAAGCCCTTCATTTTAATAAGCTTTGCTATTACTTGTGACTTGGACCCCCGATGGCGCAGTGGGTTAAACCCTTGTGCCGTCAGGACTGAAGACCGACAGGTTGCAGGTTGCAGGGAGAGCGCGAAGCTCATCCGTGCACTCCTTAGATGAGCTTCCTCTATCAGCTCCAGCTCCCCAAGCGGGGAACATGAGAGAAGCCTTCCAAAAGAATGGCAAGACATCAAAAACATCCGGGCGTCCCCTGGGCAACATCCTTGCACATTCCCAATTCTCGCACACTAGAAGCGACTTGCAGTTTCTCAAGTCGCTCCTGGAAAAAAAAAACCCTGTGACTTTGGTTATCCATGTAAAGTCCAGGAAAGTATCCCCAACGGATACAGTTACACCAGTGTTTCCTAACCTGTGGGTCCCCAGATGTTTTGATCTTCAACTCCCAGAAATCCTAACAGCTGGTAAACTGGCTGGGATTTCTGGGAGTTGTAGGCCAAAACACCTGGAGACCCACAGGCTGAGAACCACTGAGTTATAGTAATGCACACAGACAGGTGATAAGTCTGCCAAGCATAACTTATGGACAGCCTGATGTTATTTACCATCAACTGCTGTGTATATTGGACAGTTTGAGAAGCAAGTGCCAAGACACAGTTTTCAAACTTTTTGGCATTTTTCTTATTTTGATCAGGCCTTAGCAGTGTGAGTTCCAGTTTCCCATTGGTCACGATTCTATAGTAGCTACTTAAATCCATAACTACATAGTTTCATAACTAAGTAACATCTCCCAGCTTGATCTCCAATCCTCCCACCAAATATTAACTTACAGGGCAACATCTAATGCAATAGAGATCTGACCTCCTCCTGTCAATTGGGACACAGCAGACTGACAATTTTGTGGTCTCCTTCAAATAATCATTAGTGTGATAGAAGTAGAATCCCTATTCCTTCTTGTATTGGAGATCATTCACAGGAGGGTGTGTGGAAATATAAATCTGCTGCCTCCCATTTGAAATGAGAACAGATTCTTATCACTTGCTACGACTGCTGCAGGATTGGTGGACTTTTACAGTTCCTACATATTCTCTACACTATTGAACATAGAGGGATCACTAATACAGATCAGTTATAGATGCATAACCTTATATTTATGATTGTGGATTCCAGTCATATTCAGCATCAAATGAGAAACAGACCTTCCCATATTAAAATACAATAATATTATAATACAACATTATGTCTGGGCCTTTCCCTCATCCTTTATCTCCAGCACAGGCAATTACTGCCAAGCCATATTTAGGGTGTTTCTAATGACATTGATGTAGCTGCTGTAGGTAAAGGTCAAGGTTGTCCGCTGACATTAAGTCCAGTTGTGTCCGACTCTGGGGGTTGGTGCTCATCTCCATTTTTAAGCCGAAGAGCCGATGTTGTCCGTAGACACCTCCAAGGTCATGTGGCCGGCATGACCGTTACCTTCCCACCGGAGCGGTACCTATTGATCTACTCACATTTGCATGTTTTCGAACTGCTAGGTTGGCAGAAGCTAGGGCTGACAATGGAAATTCACCCTGCTCCCCTAATTCGAACCTGTGACCTTTTAGTCAACAAGCTCAGCAGCTCAGCGCTTTAACCCACTGTGCCACAGGGGGCTCTGCTGTATGGAACAGAATACTAGAATTGGTGGATCTTCTAGAAAGTATATCCTGCTAACATGACACGTGTTAATTTAAAATTTCATTACATTTTAATGGAATATCGTAGGATTTAGAAGAGCCCTCTCTGGGTTTTTTTTTGGCTGGAGGACAGATTCCAGAAGCACTTTGTGTGCCTACTCCTGAATAACATTTTTATTCCTTTGGGATTAAACCAACATGAGTCAGACGTATATCTGTAAGCAGGTTTATCCTTCTTCCCTTAATATTTCATACTTATTTAATTTCAGTTGGAGAGAGAACTGACCTATGAGAAACTCATGGACTGGATCAATCCAGAAATGATGGATCTAACCCAAGTGGAGCTGTCTCTGCCCAAATTTAAACTGGAAGAAAAGTATGACCTGAAGCCTGTTCTGATTGGCATGGGGATGTCTGATGCTTTTCACGAGAGTGAGGCTGACTTCTCAGGAATGTCACCCCAAAATGACTTAGTCTTATCTGAAGTTGTTCACAAATCCTTTGTAGAGGTAAACGAAGAAGGCACTGAAGCTGCTGCTGCTACGGCGGCTATTATGATGATGCGGTGTGCTATGATTGTCCCACAATTCACTGTCGATCATCCATTCCTCTTTTTAATTCGACACAACAATACCAGAAGCATCTTGTTCTATGGTAGGTTTTGTTCTCCATAAAAGTAGCATATTGGGCAGGTACAATACAAACACAAGTTGTTGTGGCTCGTTTGGCAATTTATCAAGGTTTTGATTTCATATCAGTAATGTTTCTACTAAATAATGCTTGGTGCTTTAACTGGTGCTGTTGTGCCTGAAGCAGGCTTTTATGCTACTGTTAATATTTGACAAATGGTTATGTCCCCAGAGATCACTCCAAAAGATGGTCCAGTGAAGGCAACTATGACCTTATTCTCAGTCCTTCTGCTGAGACATATGGATATTTGTTCATATTCCTTGTGTCTTATTCAATACAGGATACAATATTGCACGGACTGGTGCAGAAGATCAGGCAAGCCTTGCTAAGTGCACTTCTCTTAATCTTTTGTATGTAAATTATTCAAGAACAGAGGGCTTTGCAAGTGCCTTGAGTCCACTTTTGTGATAGCTTTTCCATTCTTGGTCTTCCTGTTTCCAAGGGGTAACTATCACATTTTCTTCACCTGAATGTATTCACTGGGAGCATGGGGATAAAACACTAGTTTACTTTTCTACCTCTGATCTTTTGCTGCTATTGTATCTTAAAATATTTCTCTAGAGAAACAGCATGATTGGCATATCACATTACTTACTTACTTTACTTACTTACTTAAGCAGATACCACATAAGCAGATATCCTCAGATATACTCTTCATTGCTGCTTATTCATACCCACTTTCCAATCACCTGTCATTTCTCACAATTTCTTTTGAACAATCACACTAGCCTAACCCAGGACACTACACACGTACTCATTTATCCATTTCTGGATTTGCACCTTGCTTTCTTTACTCTAAAATACCAAGTAATAATATAGCATACCAAAATCACTCAATACTACAAACTTGTCTATGCATGAAAAACAGGTAAAGCCCCATAGTGACATTTTAAAAAAAAATCAACAGGCAAAGTTACAACAAAATATTAAAAAAGAAAGTTCAAGACATTCCTGGAAACCTTTGAAAGAGTTATGATTTCTGAATGTACAAAATTTGACTTTGCAAAAAATTATTCTGAACCTGTTGTGAAAGACACTACTATCTATATTTGCCTTTTGGATGGACTGTTTAACAAAACAGTTTGAACTTTATTTTAGAAATGGCATTCAACCTTGTTTGATTGGAATAAAAGCTAAAAACAAATCTATATGAATTGTTCCGTCTCATATGTTTGTTAATTATGATGTTTCTGCACTTGGTAAAAGACAGACTCGTTGCTGGTGTCCCTGTCATCATACATTGCTGAAACCAGTGGTCGGTTCACTAAAGTTATCCAAGAGCCTGGATGGTGCATGTAGAGATAATCTTTCTCCCAATTCAATTTGCCATTCCCACCGTAGATGCCAGGCAGCAAACTGAAGGAGTTATGAGGTGCTGGTGAACAGGGTGCTGAAGGATGACAAATTCAGTCCCCTCTCAACCATGAGCAATGGTGCAGGAACAAAAAATGTGAATTGTAAAATTCATAAATGTCACAAATTTGGCTTATGACATTGTCAGTACTGAACAGGATGCCAGCCAGCATTTTAAACCATCAGAATGCTACTTAATACACAAGTTCAGATAACCTCAGCAGTTAAAGTTAGTTCATTAATTTAGCTGAAGAGCTGACTGGACTGTATATGCTAACAATCATGCTCGTAGCCAAGGGGGCAGTTTAGGGGTTCAAACCACTTCTGAAAAATTTCAGGTAAAAAACCCCCTAGTTTACTCCTGAATTTTAACTCGTTAACCAAATCTCCATGCCAAGTCTATTAGAAGAAAAAATTAGAATCCCTTCAGACCTGCAAGCACTATCTCAACCAAATTTTGATTATTCACACTATCAGTACCTACCTTTCTACCAATTTACATTGCAATAGCTGACATATTAGAAGCAACCAAGTTGGCCTTCCCGCAGCTGGCAGGCAAAGTCTAAGGTGCAGGGCGGTGGAGGGAGGATTTGACCTGGATTGCAGATGAAAACTGAGGAAAATCTGGAAACAGAGGTGTCTACCACTGGTTCATCTAATCCAAGCCCTGCCAAAGAAACAATGGAATAGGAGCAAAGACAAGACACTTGTCTTGTTAGACCTTGGACTTTATATAAATAATACTGTTTCTGATGACCATATTTTGTTCATAGTGCAGGAAAAAATTGCAACAATAAAGCAGGAGAACCATTTTTGTTGATATTTCTGTTTATGTTATGCTGCACATTGGAGTACCTTGTAAGCCACCCCAAGTCTCTTTTGGGAGATGGTAGCAGGATATAAACAAAGATTATGTTTTTGTTGTTGATGATGATTATAGAGCTTCTGTTCCTACGAGCCTCAGCAGGTTGGCCAATCATGAGGGATCATGCAAGTAATAATTCATCAGTTGTTGGGGATCAAGTTCCTCAGCCCTGCAGTATAGTCACTTTAATAATTTTGTTAGGTATCCCCACATTTCACTTATACTCAGATATGTGTAGTTTCACAAAAATCTTAGTATGCCAAAAGTAGCGGGACATTTGAAAAAAATGCTTTGTGGTAGAAAAATGTTGGTAAATATTGTACATACAAGTAAAAAGACACATTTAGATAAAAGATTAAAGACCTAAAGAACAAAATCTCATGGTGTATCCTGGACTGTAGTTCCAAGTGGTAAAAAGAAGAGAAATGCATCCCTTTTACAAAAGCTTGTTTTCAGAACTGAGTTTCTCATCTTACCCAAAAAGATAACCATTAATGACATCCAGCATAAAGCTAGCAAATCAAAATTCATTTTTGAGTTACAGTGTCAATTGATCTTGTATTATTTATACATGTATGTTTACTAACATTTCTAAAACAATAGCTAGACATTCTACAACACTTGTTCAATCAAAATACAAAGTATAAAATGTAATGTGAGTATAATAAAGAGTAAGAATTATCAAACAACATTAACAAGAAATGGTTAAATGTTCATTTTCAAATCATACATGTGCCATTATAGCATGAACCCAACGTTCCTATGTTTAAAAATTAAATGTTATCTCATAGCATCTAAAACTTTCTATGCATGTATATGCTATGCTTTTTAAAAAAAGAGATAAAAGAATGATCAGAAACAGTATAGTATAAAAGTGTGCATGCATTGGAGAATATAAATGTCACTGACTTTTACCTTTAATTACACATCCTTTATATATTATGAAATTATAGATTGGAAGAGACTGAGGCCCCTTCTGCACAGATGAATAAAATCTCACATTATTTGCTTTGAGCTGAGATATATGGCAGTGTGGACTCAGATAACTCAGTTCAAAGCAGATCTTGTGGGATTTTCTGCCTTGATATTCTGGGATATAGGGCTGTGTGGAAAGGCCCTACAAAGCTATCTAGTCCCATCCCTTATGTTTTTATTAACTACTTGAGTGTATTTTGAGAACTAGGTGGGGCATTGTAGCTCAAATCTTAATTGTAGGTTGCAACTAAATTGTAAGTTGCACTGAAATAAATGGGAGCTTGGTAAATAAGCAGTTATGCCATTTCCATTGATTTAATGGTTCTATTCTACTTGAAGCTAACAATGGGATTTGGACCTATGTGAATTTCAGCTTTCCATATTTTCTACATTGAGCCATGACACTATATTCTTAAGCCCCAATTCATATTGGGAGGTGAAATGCACTCTATGATTGTATGGAAGGCAGACATGCAATACTCGGAAACCTGGCCCATGCAAAATAGATGCTCTGAAACAGTGTTTCTCAACCTGGGGGTAAGGACCCTTGGGATGCTCACAAAGGGGGGAGGGGTCAGAGGGGTCACCAAAGACCATCAGAAAATGCAGAATTTTCTGTTGGTCATGGGGTTCTGTGGGGAATGTTTGGCCCAATTTTATCATTTGTGGGGTTCAGAATGTCAACTCCCAAATGTTAAGGTCTATTTTCGCCAAACTCCACCAGCATTCAAATATGGGCATATTGAGTATTCATGCCAAGTTTGGTCCAGATCCATCATCATTTGAGTCCATAGTGTTCTCTGGATGTAGGTGAACTACAACTCCAAAACTCAAGGTCAATGCCCACCAAACCATTCCAGTATTTTCTGTTGGTCATGGGAGTTCTGTGTGCCAAGTTTGGTTAAATTCAATCATTGGTGGTGTTCAGAATACTCTTTGATTGTAGGTGAACTATAAATCCCAGCAACTACACTCCCAAATGAAAAAAACCAATCCCCCAACCACACCAATATTCAAATTTAGATGTATTGGGTATTTGTGCCAAATTTCATCCAGTGAATGAAAATACATCCTGCATATCAGATATTTATGTGGTGATAATTTTATGGTGGAGGGTCACTACAACATGAGGAACTGTATTAAGAGGTTGTGGCATTAGGAAAGTTGAGAACCACTGCTCTAAAAGAGCATGGCCAAAAAGGCCACAAAAGAAGAGGACATCTGTCTCTTGTTTCATTTTACAAAATGAGACCCTCTGACAAATGGAATTGGTTAACATAGATATTTTTTAGAGATCAGGTAGAAACGCTTATGTGCATTGCTCTTTTTTAAAGCAACATAATGGCTTAGCTATAGTACGCATAATATTTGCATCTTATTCCTAAACATTTTTTGGTCTGGCACAATCCTGCTAAGGTCAGCAGAACATCCAACTTCATGAGTGCACTTCAAATTTCAGGCTTTTAATGCAACCTAGAAGCTACAAAACATTCTACGGAGAGCAGAATCTGCCAAAGAAAAGGATGTTTTTGTTTTTGTTCTCTCTGATGAAGAAGAGAAAAGGATGGTCTGCTACGATTTTTACAGGCCGCATTGATGACCTTATTACAACCACAGCTCCGGTGGCAGCTGCTGCCTCGGTGCCCTCTTCATTCACTTCCACAAATGACTTGTGAAACACCTCTGACAGAAACAAGTTATTTTTGCTTGAGATTCCTGAGAAATTTGCTTGGCCTTGACTGAAGGCATCTTTCATCCCCATTCTGCTTAAGGTAGACTTGAGGTCATATCTCTCTTCCAGTTTGAATTTGGGCAGTTGGAGTTCCACTTCTATGTTCTCCATCATTTCTGGACTCGTCCATACCGATAATCTCTCATATGTTAGTTCTTTCTCCAACTACAGTTAGATTAGAAAAACGGTTAAGATAGCAAAACTGGAACTGGCCCTTTCATACTACATTATTATAGGACTACTTCAACTGAGGAATTAGATGCTTCTCCCAAAACTGCAAATCTTAAGGTCTTGTAGGGTATTGCCATGACTGTTAAAGTGCAATCACAGTGCTATAATTGTATGATGTGAAAGGACTGTAGCTTTTAATGGGCCGGGAGAGGAAGGACTGTAGATCTTCAAACTAGTGGCCATGTTCATTGTTAAATCTTAAACATGAAGATACAAGACCATAAAATACAAACCTCTTATTTACCTTTCTAGAGAACAATCCTTTTCTTGGTCTCAACTACACTAGACAAATAAAATCAATGGCCACTTGATGATTCAATATTTATGTAAATTTGAATGGGCTTAAACAAGTCGAGAGTGACATGATTTAGGCTACAGATTATCTTAAAATACTGTGTTCATCAAAGGTGGACAACCAGATGATGGTGGACTACAACTCCTATCAGAGCAAGCTAACAGTAAGGGAAACTGGGAGTTGCAGTCCAACAAATATATTAGGCCACACTTTGCCTTCCCTTAATACAGTGGTTCTCAACCTGTGGGTCCACAGATGTTTGACCTTCAACTTTCAGAAATCCTAACAGCTGGTAAACTGGCTGGGATTTCTGGGAGTTGTAGGCCAAAACCTCTGGGGACCCACAGGTTGAGAACCACTGCCTTAATATATACACTGAGCTACCACTCAATTACTGTACTTAGTGGCTCTTTACATCTAAATCAGTGGTTCCCAACCCTTTTTTTGACCAGGGATCACTTTGACCAGGGACCATTCTCCAAAGGGTTATGAATCGATTTTTGGTCAACTTTAGATCAGGTTTGATTATTTGCGGTGCTGATTCAGAAAATTGCATTGGATAGACCACATCAGCTCTAGTTTCTGATACAGAACATAGGCCATCCAGTAGTCGCCATCTGTTAACCCACAGAAAACCATATTTGATAAACCTCAGCACTATAAGCAGGTTTTGCGAGACCAGACGCTTTCATTGCAACGGTGCAGTAACAGTGAGGCCATGGACCATATTTTAGATCTTGAGGACCACTGGTGGTCAATGGACCACAGGTTGGGAACCACTTATCTAAATAGGCATGTCTTGAAAATATACAAATCTTGCCTGTACAATTGCACTATGGCAAATGGGAAGGAGTTATACAAGCCTATAATTTATTGGATTCCTAAGCCTTCCCTGAGACAGTGGAAAAATTAAAACACCTTTCTTCTAACTGCATCTGATTCCATACTTATAAACGCTAGCCAAGTCCCCTGAAATATGAAAATAAATGCTTTACCAGTTCTAAACCAGTAGACTCATCTGTGATGTCTTCTGGCAGCAGGATAAACATGCTGAGTTCTTTGCTAACATAAAGGAGCTCAAGAATAAAAACTTTCAGAGTGTCAATGTAGAAAGCTGGAAATTTGTCCTTTAGAAACATCATTTGCACAGGCTTTGACTGGATCTGTAATTTTTTTTTTAAAAAAAATAGCGTGTTAGTAGTTTTTCTACATAAATTAACCACCTTCCAGGATTGGCAAATCACAGGTTTTCAACAGAGATGTGTGACATGTAGCCCTTCTGGGGTCATTGGACTGCGATTCCCATCAATCTTAGCACAGACAATGATGATAAATGATGGGAACTGAACTCCAACATCCAGATTAGTATCAAGTTGCTTTGCATTTCTCTTTTCAAAACACCAAAGTGTGAAAGAGGACAAGAAAGAGCTTCATTTCCCTGATGTAAAATCAGAAAAAGGGTGTTTTTATTTTTGTTACCCATGAGCTATAGCATTATCACTTCCCAGATAAGATTCTGTACTCTCATCACAGGGCAATGGAGTCGACACTGCCATATAATCCAGTTCAAAGCAGATAATCTGGATATTATATGGCAGTGTAGAAGGGACCTCAGTTAACACTTGTCCCTGACAAAACCTCCAAGAACATTAAAGTTCATGTTTTACTATATGAAATAAGTGCTTTAAGCAAGCCTTCTTTATAGACGATGCTCAAAGTTAAAAGTAATACTATACTAAATTAACACCAGTAAAATTTTCCCATGTTGTAGGATGACATTTTTATTTTTTTATTTACAGATGCTTACCTTACTGAGTCTGAAAGACTTCTCTGTAGTATTTTCTTTTTGAAATTTTTTGTCCCACATTCCTTTGAAGTAAATGGCATTTACTAGGACCAATGCAGTCTGAGAATCAACAGCACCATCAGGTAACAGATTCTTAATTTTGTCTTTTTCAAAGAAAAGGATAGTATAAGTATTGATATCGCAAAACCACTTTGTATTTTGAAAAATAGCTTTCTACTAAGTCAGATCATCATCCCATCTAAATTCTTCATCTCGTACTGCCCCTAGAGTTTGCTTTCTTGCAAAAATAACATGATATTTGTGTGTGTGTATCTGGAGCAACTTGAGAAACTGCAAGTCACTTCTGGTGTGAGAGAATTGGCCATCTGCAAGGATATTGCCCAGGGGATACCCAGATGTTTTATCATCCTGTGGGAGGCTTCTCTCATATTCCCGAATGAGAAGCTGGAGCTGAAGGGAGCTCACCCCGCTCCTGAATCAACATTACTCATTACAGAAGAAGTAACATTAGCAGTTACTACATTGTCACCCCATCCCCATAAAAATCAGGTATTATTATTATTATTATTATTATTATTATTATTAATAGCCTGCTTTATCTCTCCAAAGGGGATTCAAAAAGGTTTGACATAAAGCATTATTATATAATTTAAAATATATAAACATACAGCCATTGGTGATGATGCTCTCACTTATAAAAATGTAACATGTTACAGATAACAGCATTACTTTCAATGCAATACTGGGGAAGTGAATCCTGGCTGCTGAAAAGGCTTTTTTCATGACGCTTTAAAAGAGGGAAGCATCTGATAACTAAATCATGTACATTTCAAGTTTTAAACAGAGAAGTATCTCCCTCCATCAAGAAATATATAAAACATGAGGTAAGTTGATAAAGAACACTCCACATCTTACCTTCAAATTAGATGTTTTCCCACATACCTCGCTTTAGAACAGGGTGTGCAAAATACATCCCACATATATCCTCCAGTTTGTAAAACCAATTTATAATAAAAATTACAGTATCCCTTCCTTATCCATGGAGTTGACTAAAATAATCAAAGGTCTAGAGAACAAGTCCTATGAGGAGCGGCTTAAAGAGCTGGGCATGTTTAGCCTGTAGAAGAGAAGGCTGAGAGGAGACATGATGGCCATGTATAAATACATGAAGGGAAGTCATAGGGAGGAGGGAGCAAGCTTGTTTACTGCTGCCCTGGAGACTAGGATGCAGAACAATGACTTCAAACTACAGGAAATATTCCACCTGAACATTAGGAAGAACTTCCTAACAGTGAGAGCTGTTCAGCAGTGAAACTCTCTGCCCCGGAGTGTGGTGGAGGCTCCTTCTTTGAAGGCGTTTAAACAAAGGCTGGATGGCCATCGGTCAGGCCTGCTTTGAATGTGATTTTCCTGCTTGGCAGGGGATTGGACTGGATGGCCCATGAAGTCTCTTCTAACTCAATTAGTCTATGATAATGGGTCATTGTTTGCCCTAAAGGCTTATGGGGGCAATTTCATCACAGTTTCCCCAAATGATTTTAGACTCACTTGCTCCGATATTTAAAAATTAGCTGCTTCTAGAATCCAAAACAGACCCGCATTTTTAATGGCCTGGCTAGGAGGCTGTGCTTTGACAATGATATCTGGCAATTAAGGAAAATATAACAAAAATATGTTATGTATGTGTATTGCTTTATAACCAAGAAAAGTTTGTTAAGTGCTTCATAAAATATAAAACATGTGAGAACTATTGGCTTAGGTTTATTCACATGTGTTTTAGGAGAAGTTCAGATATTATGAATCAATTAATTAACTTACTATCAGTTTGTCTTTCCACCCAAGAATTGATCTGGCCTCTGACTTGTTCAGCAGCACGCAAAAAATCAACAGATTGCGGCTCTGCATGGTAATATTTCTTAACAAGTTGCAGATATTCCTGGAATGCATAAATGCAAATTATTTCCCACCTATACTCATGTATAAGTCTAGAAATTTTTGTCAAAAAATTAACCCAAAATCTTGTATCAATTTATCCATGATCAATGTTGGTACTGAACTTTCACTTGTATTTATTTTTTAAAGGAACCATGCCCTTATCTGAGTAAACTGGCGAAAGGTGAGAGCTTAATCCATCCCAGAACAACATGAAAGAAGCATCAACCCGCTCTACTCCCTCCTTCATGGCTCCATCTCTGGCCTTTTTGGATGCCAGGGTGGGAAAATAGCTGTATTTCTCTCCATGGAATGACCTCCAACTGATCCATGTGTCAACCCAGAATATCAAGGCAGGTAATCCCACAATATCTGCTTTGAAGTGGAATATATGTTAGTGTGGACTCAGATAACCCAGTTCAAAGCAGATATTGTGGAATTTTTTGCACTGATATTCGGGGTGATATGGCTGTGTGGAAGGGTCCTGAGGGCCCATCCAGACAGTACCTTTATTGCAGACTACGTTCTGGACAGTCCCGAATTAATTTGCAACAAACTAGGAAAACCCTGGTTTGTGGCACATTAATTAGATAGTGGATTTATTCTGCGCCTTCTTGGAAGGAGCGGGATAAACCCACTACTTCCGGTATCTGGACTGCAGTCCAGACACCATTCTGAATGATGACCATGAGATGCAGAGGGAACCTTAAGAAATGGGGCTACAAAATAGAATCCAAGACATGTGAGTGTGGAGAAGGGCATACCATAGACCACCTACTACAATGCAACCTGAGCCCTGCCACATGCACGATGGAGGACCTTCTTATGGCAACACCAGAGGCACTCCAAGTGGCCAGATACTGATCAAAGGACATTTAATCAGCTACCAAGTTTGCAAACTTTGGGTTTTTTTTTTTAGAATACAATACAACTGTTTGGTTCCCTCCTGACACGATAAATAATATAGCCTGGTAAACTGTGGGAATACCAACCCCCCTCCCCGAAGCCTTACCCGGCCTCCATTACAGGCTTCGAGCACCTCTCCCGGAGAGTGGGGTGGGGGAGAGATGCTCAAAGCCTGTAATGGAGGCCAAGTAAGCTTTCATTTGAACTAACAACTCTGAATTCCTAGAGGGGATTGTTGGGTCTACCCTCAACATCCCCTTCTCTGCAGTCCTTGTTGAACACCAAGGGCTAAATGGAGCTCTGTAATCATCAGCATTTCATTCAAAAAGTTCACGGTCATACCCCAAAGAATCTTGGAGGTTGGACCATTATCTATATTAAAGAAATTCCAAATTAGAGATTAATGTTAAGTGTAAATAATACTATACTTACATCAACAAATGTGAAAGTCTTTTCTCCATATAGTCGGTTGGCAGTTTTAAGCACGTAAGTCCTCTTGGGTTGGTTGATTTCAGAGATCAATTCCTTGAACAGACTATGAATGGTTTCACCTGCACTGAGATCTTGTTCCTTTCAGAGAGACACCATTGCCTATCAAAATCTCAGTTGCATTTGATGACACACCAGCAATTCTGAACATGAGCACAGCTAAGAAAAATGTAAGACTAAAACCTTGAATGTGAAGTAGCACTTAAGCATCACTAAAAAGAAGAGACAGATTTCTAAAAGAGTGCATGAGATATTTACATAATATTTGCATGTACTAATATTGTAGAAATTGAAACAACTTTTAATATAATCACTATCTTTTAATGAACAGCAAATTACATTTCCCCAGGGGAGTATAGAGACTATGGTGATTAGATGAACCATATGCTTTCTTAGTGTACTGTACACATACTAAATTGTAAAAGGTAACTTCAAGATCTCTGTTCCACTTTCTTTAAACTGGAGTTGGACTGGAAAGTTATATAAAAAGTTTACATATTTTGATGCCCCTCAAATAGAGAACTATGCCTCTACCAACTTGTCCCCAGTTACCCTATTCAAAAAGGATGGTCAAAGGAGATACAAGCTCTACCACAGTAGTTCCCAACCTTTTCCTCCAGGTGTTTTGGACTTCAGCTCCCACAATTCTTAGTAGCTGGTAAGATGGCTGGAATTCCTGGGAGTTGAAGTCCAAATCACCTGGAGGATCCAAAGTTGGAAACCACTGCTCTACTAAAAGGACAAGGTTTGGAGAATGAGTGGTATTTTGAATTAGCTAGCTTCCATCTTTCATTTTCTTTGGGGTGCGGGGGGACGACTTATGTTTGAAACACTGATATCTCTAAGGTTCGACTGTAGTTGGTCAATCCAGCCGTTTTACAAGGTGATTTTAATTCTTCAGAACTATATGCAGGATTGCTATTTCTGTTTTCCATCTTTTCCCCATTATGGTATGATATTACCTCTGAAGATCTTTCCATTCCTTTTGCCATAATGAAATGAAGCACCTGTAAGGAGAGTTGTAAAGACAATAATTGCAAAGTTAATTACATAATAGAGAAACAGAATAGTAGTAGGTGTATGGTATACGATATTAACCAAACTGAAACTATACAAAATAAGATACATTTTATAGCTGTAATACTTGTAATACAGTAATACCTATTGTGACAACAGCAAGGATGCAACTGCTACAATCCATACTTTACTAAGATCTTTGATCTAGTATGGAAAGCTATATTTTAAAACAGTACAACAATTTCTTCTTAATGACCCTTTTCAGTGGTTCTCAACCTGTGGATCCCCAGGTGTTTTGGCCTACAAGTCCCAGAAATCCCAGCCAGTTTACCAGCTGTTAGTATTTCTGGGAGTTGAAGGCCCAAACATCTGGGGATACACAGGTTGAGAACCACTGCTTTAAATGAAATAGCATTTTAAAAATATCGTATCAGTATTCAAAATAATGATCAGCTACTCATCATACTTTTGAAAGTATCTTCAATCCTGAAACTGCACAATGTGTTTGACTGCCTTCTATATTTATGTTTTCCTTTCCTTGTTCATAATTGACTGCTGATATCAGCTTCAGAGGACTTTCAATGTTCTTGACCATCATTTGTATTTATGATACATTTTCTCTTATGTGAATTTATGTATTGATGTATTTTAAGAAAACCAATTAAAATATATTTTAAAAATTAAAAAAAAGAAAGAAAGCAGCTAACACAACAATTTCCAGTTAGTGAATTCTAAGATGTTGTAAAATGACTACTTCCCTACATAGAACAAGGTTGAAGTCCTATATCATCTGTGGACCCAAGGCTAAAAAACCACTGGATTAGTACAGTACTGTATTAAATCTATAAATTATGTGAAAGATAGATCTCTTTTCCACCGTGTATATTGTCTTCAAAAGATCAAACACTAAACCACACCCAATAGAAGAACCTACTTCAGCCATCTGGGTGGCAGTGTTGTTTCTTGCTCCCATAAAGACCATACCCAGAGCAGACATGACACTCCAGGGTGAAAAGAAAATGTTTTTGCCTTGAGATGATTGATTCAACTTTTTGAAAAGACCCAAGGTGAAGTTGCCATTGGCTGTTGTAAGGGTGTCCATTGCTGAAACCTATGAAAAATATAACAAAGAAAATAATAATATGGAGAATGATGGGTGTCATTTTTCTTTCTTTGATCCTATGCATATTAATGGGGAAGGAAAACTTGATGGTTTGAACTGGTTAACTCCCTGATAATCTTGCCTTTGAAGTTTTCTCAGTTGTGCCATTAAAGCCAGCAAACAAGTTATTGGTATTGTTGAAGGCTTTCATAGCTGGAATCAATGGGTTGTTGTAGGTTTTTTTTGGGCTATATGGCCAGTTCTAGAGGCATTTCAAATGCCTCTAGAACAGTGTTTCTCAACCTTCCTAATGCCGCGACCCCTCAATACAGTTCCTCATGTCATGGTGACCCCCAACCATAACATTCTTTTGCTACTTCATAACTGTAATTTTGCTCCTGTTATGAAACATAATTTAGGATTTGTAGTTGTTGGGATTTATGGTTCACCTACAATCAAAGAGTATTCTGAACTCCACCAATGATGGAATTGAACCAAACTTGGCACACAGAATGCCCACGACCAACAGAAAACACTGGAAGGGTTTGGTGGGCATTGACCTTGAGTTTGGGAGTTGTAGTTCACCTACAAAGAGCACTATGGACTCAAACAATGATGGATCTGGACCAAACTTGGCATGAATACTCAGTATGCTAAATGTGAACACTGGTGGAGTTTGGGGAAAATAGGCCTTGACATTTGGGAGTTGTAGTTGCTGGGATTTATAATTCGCCTATAATCAAAAAGCGTTCTGAACCCCACCAATGATAGAATTGGGCCAAACTTCTCACAAAGAACCCCCATGACCAACAGAAAATATTGTGTTTTCTGATGGTCTTTGGTGACCCCTCTGGCACCCCCTGGCGACCCCTCCAGGGGTCCCGACCCCCAGGTTGAGAAACACTGCTCTAGAACATGGCCATATAGCCCGAAAATACCTACAACAACCAAGTTATTGGTAACTGAAAAATAAAGTGGTATCTTGTTGGAGGGGTCTGAACAGGGCTGTTGCACAGGAATGACTGTTCCAAGGTGTGAAACTTTTAGACCTGCAGCAATTGGTGAGTCACGTGAATGCAATGAGAAACCTCTGAACCCGTGTAAAATGAGCAAGTATTAATGACATTATTGATGTTAGTTTTAGTAACATATTGTTATTCATAAATGGATGGCCATCTGTCAGGGGTGATTTGAATGCAATATTCCTGCTTCTTGGCAGGGGGTTGGACTGGATGGCCCATGAGGTCTCTTCCAACTCTTTGATTCTATGATTCTATGAAATGACAGAAATCTTGGAAATGTATGCTATTATACATCATATATATTTAAAAATGTAAATGAAAGGTTTTCATACATTTCGTTATTTCAACTTATGTATGTGTCCTTGGGCCCTTCCAGACAGCTATATAACCCAGAATATCAAGGCAGAAAATCCCACAATACTGCTTTGAACTGGGTTATTTGAATCCATACTTCCATATATTTCAGCTCAAAGCAGATAATGTGGGTTTTTATTCCGTTGTGTAAAGGGCCTCTATCTCTTATAAGAGGTTGGTTTAACTTCCGGTTTGCTAGTAAAACTGAATTATGGTCTAAAAGTCTAAAAGTGTGTCACCAATATGACATATTTGAAAAATTCTGCATTGACTTTGCCTCATTCTGCTGAGAATTGTCCAAAATGATCCCTAAGCCTTTCTACAACTATTAACTTGATTCCAGTTGTTTGTATGTGCCTTCATGTCAACTCCAGCTTTTGTTGACCATATCCTAGGGCAAAGTTTCATCAGAGCAGGTTTGCAATTGCCTTCATTAAAGCTTGAGAGAGTGTTACTTGCACAAGATCACTTACTGCAGTGATTCTCAACCTGTGGTTCCCCAGGTGTTTTGGCCTTCAGCTCCCAGAAATCCTAACAGCTGGTAAACTGGCTGGGATTTATGGGAGTTGTAGTCCAAACCACCTGGGACCCATAGGCTGGGAACCACTGACTTAGTGGGTTTCCAAGGCTCCGATCTCTCAGACTCCGAATCCAATATTCAAACCATTACACCATATCTCCAGTTGAGGGAGCAATTCCACATCTTTGAAATTGTTTTGAAGTTATGAGAAAGTACGCCGTTTTTTCTTCACTTGTCCATAATGTGTAAAGCTTCAGAAGCACAGTGGCTTTCCCATAGCTTAATTTGTTATGAGTGAGTTTTATACCCAAATCTTTTGTGTAGAATGACACCTAGCATAACAATATTGATCATTGATACACAAATGATCAAAGGCAGTTGGTGCCCATTATTGGCAGGACGAGATGGTCAATGGAAGAAACGAAAATCAACAAGACTGTGAAATAGGCAGGACTGACTGGTTTGTAGCTAGCCTGGTTTTATGTTGGTAGACGGTGTACTCTACTTGTCCTAATGGACCAATGTCCACAAATCTTAATATTGACACATCTCCAATCAATAAAATAAACCCTTTTGGGTTTTTTGTACAATGTTAGCATTGTTAAACCTTCTAAATATTGTTGAATTAAAACTCCTAGAAATCTTAACCATCACAACCAATGTAGGTGGAGTATTTCCTTTATCTGAAACATTTAGGAGCAGAATTTTCAATTTTTTCCCCAGATTTTGGAACACATAATGAAGAAGGCATGTGGGGAAAGGGGGCTAGTCACACATTTAGTGCCTGTAGAGTTTTACCTTCAAAAAGGGGGAAGATAACAAGGAGAAGGACTCTGCTCAAACAAGACCCCTGTAAAAAGCAGATGCTTCTGGTGCTTTTCCAGCTGACAGCACTTTCCACCCTTTTAGAAAAGTAGCTTGGAAGGAAGGAGAAAATCCTCACTGACCATGAGCTGTTCTCATTCTCTCTGGCCTGGATACAGTTAGCAGTCAATTAGGTTGCTCTGTGCACTGCCCGTTGCCATTGGCACACAAATATTAAAAAATATTTCAGACTTCTAGTTAAGGGAAACTCAACCTATAACGAGAAATGCTGGACCAACAATTGTAAAATCTGAAGTCCAACTATTCCGCTCTAACAGGCAATCCTTTATTCATTTAATCCTGCTAAGGTTTGAGGGATGCTGGAATTGCACTTTGAAACCATTTAAAATTCAGTTGTTCCCCACACACCCTGCTTTAACATATTAATTCATCCTTTCATACTCTTGTTCTTCCTTTAGAAGAATGACAGGAAAAATCTGCCACAAGAAACTACTTATTCTACTATACAAACTGCAAAAAACAAAACACCAACCTATAAAATAAATAATAGCAATTCATAACTGACATTGAACATGTAAAAGTTCATACTTGACATTGGGACTTTACAATACCTGGAGTTGCTTCAATTTATGTGCTTCCTTGCATGTGCTGGCTTGCATTTGTTTGTGGAGCAATCATTTTGCAGGAATGTAAAGCAACACTTACTTCCCCTTAATTACACCACTCAGGTAAACATCCTGTTCACCCACAAATGTCTGCTGGAAAGTTCAAGTTTAGCTGCATTATACTTACTATCTAAAACTATAAACTTCATTTTAAATAGTAAAATATATGTGAATATAATTACAAGAGCACTTGTTCTGGTAGTCGTGAAGGGCTCACCCTCAAACACTCAATACCATTACACTGTTGTTAAGGCACTGCTCTCTGTTAGATCTACTGTGGATATTGAGAAGCAAGCTTTGGAATCAAACTGAACTGCTGAATATATATTTGTAAATGTGGAATAAAATAAACTTCTTTGTATATTATAGTTGTCCCTCTGCATCCACAGTTTCTGCATCCACACATTCAACATTATTATTATTATTATTATTATTATTATTATTATTATTATTATTTCGGTTTCTTCTACCCCGCCCTTCTCACCCCGAAGGGGACTCAGCGTGGCTTACAAAGCAAAGGCATAATTCGATGCCCACATCACATAACAGTCAAAAACAGACATAGCATCAATTCACAGTTAAACAATTCCTACATTACAACTAGAAAAACCAATAAAACCAATACAAACCCAATTCCTCCTCATAAACGGTCAGCGTTCGCTATCTCATAGTTCTAATTTTCAATTCCACTTCGTCAATCCTGATGGTCTTACTCGTCTGATTGTCTTATTTAATTGTCAGATTGCCCAAAGGCCTGGTCCCATAACCACGTCTTACCTTCCTCCTGAAGGAGAGGAGGGATGTTGATGCCCTGATTTCCCCCGGGAGTGAGTTCCACAGGTGAGGGGCCACCACTGAGAAGGCCCTGCTCCTCGTCCCCACCAGCCTCACTTGTGATAGCGGTGGGGTCAAGAGCAGGGTCTCCCCAGATGATCTCAAATTCCGGGTTGGGACGTAGAGGGAGATACGTTCGGACAGATACACTGGACCGGAACCGTACAGGGTTTTGTAGGTCAAAACCAGCACCTTGAATTGTGCTCGGAACTGAACCGGCAGCCAGTGGAGCTGACACAGCAGGGGGGTGGTGTGCTCCCTGTATGTCGCTCCGGTGAGCAATCTGGCTGCCGCTCACTGGACCAGTTGAAGTTTCCGAACAGTCTTCAAGGGCAACCCCACGTAGAGTGCGTTGCAGTAGTCTATTCGGGATGTAACAAGAGCGTGGACCACTGTGGCCAGATCAGACTTCCCAAGGTACGGGCGCAACTGGTGCACAAGTTTTAATTGTGCAAAAGCTCTCCCGGCCACCGCCGAGACCTGGGGTTCCAGGCTCAGCGATGAGTCCAGGATCACTCCCAAGCTGCGAACCTGCGTCTTCAGGAGAGTGTAACCCCGTCTTAAAAACAGTTTTAAAATCCAAAAAGCAAACCTTATTTTGCCATTTTATATGAGGGGACACCATTTCACTACACCATTGTATATAATAGGAATTGAGGATCCATGGATTTTGGTATCCACGGAAAATCCTGGAAACATAACCCAGTGGATACCCAAGGGCCCACTCTACATTCTTATAAGCAAGAGCAAACAATTTCAGAATTTTCCTCCTCATAGCAAGAACA